GTGCAAATCATTTTCTAGTAGAACCTTAATTACATCCTGCAGTGTCTCGTCCTCAGCAAACCACTAGCAATAAAAGTCTGCATTTCATTTGAAAACCGACAGGGCTGGGTTTTTCTGTTTTGTTTTCCCCAATTGACATATACATAATCTAGCCTGGGACTTTGTTCCACAGCATTTTTGTCAAAGGCACTAGAGAGTATGCCTGCAACTACTAAATCTTTCTCAGGTTCGCATTCAATTTGCAAGTTATACAACTGTAGCTAAAGAAAGAGACGTTCTGTTTGCAGGAAGGTGTTTGCCAGATCCCCACTGGCAATGGCAAAAAGTGATTTATGATCAGTTTTAGTTAACATGGCCTCTCAAACAGATTTTAAAAAGTCTTTACAGCCATGGCCTAACGCCAAGGCCTTTTCTATAGGAACATACTCAATTTTAGTTTGTGTTGGTGCCCTGCGACTCAAATGCAAAGGCAAATGGGTACAAATATTGAATACATCCTCCTGATGAGACAAAGGGCTTTTTACCTTTCAGATCCTCCCATGCTCCACCACTACAAATCTGTGCCTTCTCCAGTTTGTTGTTTGTGCAGGGGTGTTGATGACTTTTAATTCTTCAGTTCATCCTTCTGTGCAAGAGTCCATTTTCTTAACTCCTCCAAGAAAAAGTGGATTTGCCTGTTCCCTTTTTTAGAGGTACAAATAAGAAGACTTAAATATATTCCTGGCCCTATGTTTATATGTGCACTTACATACACAGTTCACAATAAAGAGGTCTCCCTCTTTCCTTTTGGGGCTGCTACACTCTGCTGCCAGAATGAAAATTCTTTATCATACTGTCATCACTGTCATGAGCACAGGCGTCTCCTGGCACATACAAATTCCTCAAGGCATGAAACCACTGCAGTTCCTGCATCTTCTCTCAGGCAGCAGACCTAGTTGGTTTGTGTTGCTCCCACAGCATGCACAAGTACCTAAACTTTGACTTAAACTTAAGCTTGAGCTGCAGATGCCTTGACCACGTTTTCTTGGATCCTCCATTGTTTCCATTGCCTTCACAAAGCCTCAGGCTGGGCTGAGGGTTGGGTACTGACTTCCTTCACTGTCAGACTTGGACAGGGTTTCGCCAAGACCAAACTCTGGGATCTCCTGCACTTGGTTTGCCCAGTCCAATTCAGCAGTTCTGCAGGCCCTGCAGAATCTTAGGTTGAGTCTTAGTTCATGACCCCAGCCCTTAATGGGTGTCATATTCTGGTACTACACTTCTCATGCAGTGCTCCAGCTGCTGTAACACTTTCATAATTAGCCTCCTTTGCATAAAATAATTGAATATTCAATACCAAATATCCCCAAGCCAGGTACTGAAGATGTGGCCAGCTTTCCTGAACCCTGCCAGCCACAGTCCAACACCTCCACAGGTTTGCGTGTTACAGGACACAGCTCAGAGCCAAAAGAAGGTCTATAAGGAGCTCGCCAACAGGAAACAATCTCGACTCCTTAGAAGTCATGTGGCTTCTTATGGGAAAGACTAAGTAGAGACCCAGAAGCCTTGGTAACGTCAATCACAGGTTTTGAGCCTCAGCAGCCCGTATACCTTCCTTCCTCCCTCCTCTGAGCTTTGAGATTACCTACACCTTTTGCAGCAGCCTAGCCCCGCTGACAATCAAGCGAGAAAGCTAGACAAAGAGCCATACATCAGCTACCTCACAACTTCTGGAAGCTTCATTTACAATGTCTGGATATTTCTCCTTTTATTAGCACCACCTTTTCCAGCTGCACAACCTTCTCAAGTTGTCCATAGTTCTGGAGAACTTCAGTGAAGGTAAGATTCGTCATACGAAAAATTTGCCATTCTTTGAGGAGTTCAAAAAACCTAGGACTTCCGTTTAGCACAAAAGGATGAATTAAAGGAGAAAAGCCCCTACTGGCATCCCTGCACAAGCAGACGGTAGCCATTAGAAAAGCCAGACCACAGCCTTGAGAGAAATGCAAGATCTTGAACGTATGTTTTTGCTAGCTCAGTCCTTTAACCAGCTTAGAGAACCAAACTCTTTCCCAAGCACCTTTCTTCTAACCTATGTTGAATATGTAAAGCAAGGACACCAGACTTACAGCCAAGTGATTTTTCACTCCAGGCACATGGAACATGATGAAAGTAAATTTGTGGGTGTTTGTGCTTGATTTGGCAGAGAAAAAAAATGAGGGAGGGACTCCATTTGAGGGAGGGTATCAAAGATCAGAGCCAGATGCTTTTGCACAGAGCTCTGGATTTGCAGGAAATTAAGAAGGTAGAGAAGGTGAGGCAAAGGCTGTGTTTGAAGTGAGAGTCAAGGGGTTCTGAAGCTTACAACCATCCAAGGTGCTTGGGGGGAAATACAGCGCATGCCAAAACCACACCACACTGGCCCGGGGTGCTTTCATTATACAAAGCCTGGGAGAGCAGAGGCTGTAAATGTAGCTTCAAAAGGAGCTTCATCTTAAAGTCTTAGCTCTCAGGGCCTATTAAACATTTATGCTGACTACCACTCCTACTCTTTGCCTCAGAGAAAGCACCCGAAATAACCTTTGCTACAGAGCAAACTACTACAGCTCTACCAGCTGTGTAGGAGACTAGCAGGAAACTGTGAGAAACAACCAGAAACTGTGTTGGAACAGCATGCTGATGTCTCTATTCAGTAAGTTGGGAAAGAACCATGAAAATCTGGTCTGGAACCTGAGAGGGAAGACAGAAAACAGTGCAAGGAATAATGGGTGGATTAGCCATGTGGAGATGGCTAAGAGTGAGAGAGGCCATTGGAGGCAAATATAGATATATGAGAGTATTGGCAATTTTTGCTTCTACCTTACTTAAGGTTCACGCTTTTGGGGGAATCTTCAGACCAGCCTCCAGTTTTGGATCTATGACTACTGCAGCTGTGAAAGAGACTGTAGAAGAAAAGGAAGAAAGCCGACCCTATGAAGAAATCAAAAGGAACACAAAAGGACTCTAGGAGAAGATGGAAAGAAAGGATTAATTCCCTCAACTTGCTAAAAATTCTTTGGCTGTGCAACAGGAGTTTAGGATGAGGCAGCCAGAAGTACTCAAAGTTTTCACTCTAGGAAGCTGTTACTACTAATAGCAGACAATACACCCAACATTCACTTATTCCCTCATAGTTCACTCATACAATCACCCAGTTACCTGGTTGGAGGACAACCCCAGCTGTATACTCAATAGAGGTTAGGCTAAGCAGCTTCCAAGTAGGTGTTCAGAAAGTCCATTGAAAAGTCATTCATTTCAATGGATGTACACATAATCCTGCAGTCTTTGTCTGCACATAGGAGGCCCTGCCCTACAGTCACACAACCCACAGTTGATACTGGCATTCACTTGTGGCTTTGCACAGACTGAGCAGACACTTTGTGCCCAGAGTTTATCAGCTCTTGCAGATTCAGCAGGACTTCCAGTCTATAGAGTTAATCAGTCCTCAGGAAACCTTCACACTCCTTCTCAGCACGTGCTTTTCCTCTTTGGTTTGTTTCTGATAACTATTTCTCCATCCAAACCTACAGACACCTACAGGACCAATTCAGTTTTACACAAAAGAGGCCTTTATGACAAGTTGAGTTGGTGGCTTTTGGAGCTAATCACTCAGCTTTCACACTGTAGGTACAAATGTAACGTAAATGTGGCTCCTTCTTCTTAATGAGCTGCCACAGCACCTCTTTCTGGAATCAAGTTGGCCTCAAGTTGCACCAGGGGAGGTTTAGAATGGATATTAGGAAAAATTTCTTCACGGAAAGGGTTATCCAGCATTGGAATAGGCTGCCCAGGGAAGTGGTTGAGGCACCATCCCTGGAGGTGTTCAAAAGACGGGTTGACATGGTCCTCAGGAATATGGTTTAGTGATTTTTTATTGCTTATTTCTTATTTATTTTTTTGTCAGAGTTAGGTTGATGGTTGGACTAGACAATCTTTAAGGTCCCTTCCAACCTAGACGATTCTATGATTCTATGAATCCAAAATGACCAAGCTGGATATGGGCTAGAAGAGATGAAGTTTTGGTGTTGACCTTTGAATACATAGACCCCACAAGAGGAGACAGGCCTTCCCACACTTAACCTAGGGAGAAAACATTGATCAGCTGGTCTGGATTCATGTAGGACAGTTTCTGCTTAGTCCCATCCTTTCTTGCAGTGGGTTAATGAGCCTGTCTCCTGAAGGCTGACTCAAACACTAAGTGGAGGGTAGTTTTGAAGATTGCGTTCTTAGAAACCATTTTGCAAAAGAGAAGGTCCTGCGTGTTACATTGATGGCTCTCAACCACCAATTCTCGGTCCTTCTCTTTCACTTCTTTCTCGCAGGCCGCATCCCTGAAGCTGCAGAGGAGTTTATACACGTTGATCTAAACCTTTGTACCGTAAGGATGAGATTCATGACTTATCTCTGTACGATCAAATTGAATCAGGCCTTGGAGACAGCATGAGGTCGGGCCAGGAGAAGGGGCCTCTTACAGGTTAGAAAAATGGCTTGTCGAATTCAGGTGTCCAGGGAAGTTCCCCCCCCCAAAAAAACCCGAAGGGGGCGAGCGCCACCAGGCACACAAGATCTGTTTAAGGCTCGTGGGACTCCTGAGGGACACACGAGCTGCGCTAGGAGGTTATTTGGAGGGACTGTCACAGAGGCACGCTCAGATCCGCTCTGGGCAGCGGGTATTTTTGCAGCAGAAGCCCCATCTACTGTAGGCACCCTCCCCACGCCACTGCCTTTATTTCCCTAAGCTACAAAAGCCGCCTGCGATCACGACGTGCCACCCCCCGCCCCCCGGCGGGGGCGTCCCCCTCACACAGCCCTTGAGCGGGAAGGGACAACGCCGCCACTGAGCCGCTACGGGAACTACAGCTCCCAGCGAGCGCCGCCATCTTTGTGCTGGGCGGGCCGTGGCGCCCGCCGCCATCTTTGCTTGGGGCTTCACCCGGGCAGGGGTCGCGCATGCGCAGCAGGCGGTGCCGGCGGCGGCGACAATGGGGCGGGCGGCGGTGGCCCTGTGGGTTCTGGCGGTGGCTGTGTGGCGGACGGAGCTCGCCGCGGCAGGTGAGGGGCTTTTGGGGGTCCTTCGCGTCCCTTGGGCGTGAGGGGGTTGCTGGGAGTGAGAGCGGAACGCGGCCTCGCGGCCGGCGGAGAGGGTCGGTTACTCGGGCGGGAGACTGTGGGGACGCTGAAGGGGTCTCGCCGCCTCCCCCCCGCCTCCTCCTCTTCTTCCTCCTCCTCCTCCTCTTCTTCCTCCTCCTCAGCCCGGTCGCGCAGCTCCCCCGGTACTCCGTGATGGTCCCTTGAGGCTCCTCACAGCTTCCCTTTCAGTCCGGGGACCGTCGCGGGGTGCCCGGGTTGATGTCCCTTCCCCGGTCCCCCTCAGCTGGGTGGCCTCTCTCCTCGGCCGTGGTGGTGTGTTGTGGGACCTTGGTGCATCGGGATTGCCGGCTGGGCCAGAAGAAATCCTCTTCAGCCCCCCACTAGTTGCTCTGGTAGCCTAATGGATTAATCCCTCTGGCTTTTCCTTCCCGCCTCATTTAGATGCCAAGTGGAAAACGATAACGGAGCAAATTAAGAAAGCTGTGGAAGTCTATGAGCCCTGTGTAAAGGAAAATTGCAGCTGCCACCAAAGGTGAGAGGCTGGTTCCCTTCTGGCTGCACAGGCCTCTGGCTGTGAGCACTGATGGACTCAGTGTTGCTCACAAGTTTTTCTTGTGGGCTTTTAAAAGTGGAAGAAATTAAGTGGTGTGTGCAAAATATTTTAAAATAGCTAAATTAAGAAAGCTTATTACAGAACACAGATTCATTTAGTGTGATGGTGTGTTGTGTTTGCTCACTCCCTGTGCTCGGACGGGGCTTCCAGTGGAAGAAGAGAGGGCAGAATTGGAGGAGCGCTCTTTCTGGAGAGCTTAGCTCGCTGCTTGTGAAAATTGGAGTGGCAGTGGGTATTTAACAGGAAGATGCAAGTCCTGTTTACTTCTTTTATAACTATGGACTATTATGCAAAATGCCAGCACTCTGTCTGATCTTCCTACGGTGATTTAGTGCAGAGAGCTAGAGATTTATGTGTGGATGCAAGACCACTGTAGGCGGTACAAGTGTAGACACAGCCAAACCAAACTTCCCTTCTGTTCCCTCTGGTAGAGCATGGAGAATATTACAGGTGCGTAGGTCATCACTGTTATGTGGATAGGGACTGTAGGACTGGGTTTTTCTGGTATCTTTAAGCAATGTTTTTATTTGAAGGGCCAGAGGGCATACAGGGAAGAGCCAAAATATCCTTTTATGTTTAGGATTTGGATTCCAAATGCAAAAACACAGATGCCCAACTTTAAGTCTTCAATTTAAGAAATACCAGATGTGCTCGTTCATTTTGGGGGTGAGATGAGTGCTATATTGGCTTTTATTATTAGTTGAGTCATATTGGGCAACTGTTTGTGTGCTCTGGAGTTTTTGATCTTCATTGCTCTTGAAATATTGATGAGGAAAAGTCTTCTCTAATTTAGCCTTCCAGTCTTTTTCCTGAATTCCAATTTTGGTACAGCCTAAAGACATCTCCTGATCTTTAAATATATATTCCACCATCTCCTGCCCACCTTTGGGAAGAGCACCTTCCCAAGTGGCTCCAACCTCCAAACCTGCTTTGATAGATGATAGGCAATAGCAAGATGAAGTTACAATTGCTGTGGTTCTCCAAACTAGTTTTTGCTGCAGTGGTAGTTCATCTAAGGGTCCTTAAGGAGCACGGCTATAGTGACAGGCATTACAAAACAATCCAGGAAGATGATACGGCATCCATGCTGTGTAACACTTAAGAAACTCAGGTCATTTTCATAGCTGATTTGGATGTATGTAAATACATTGCAGAATGCTGAAAGCTAGCTACTTTTCCCCATATAACATATTCTACTTGTGCCTAGTCTTCTCTGACTCAGTGGCCAAGGGCTGAAGGTCCTAACTTGTTTGTTACTTACTTTCAGTTGTCACTTAAGTTACAATGACATGGATGTGCCATAAAACTGCAACTTTCTTCCTGTTCTCAAGCTCATTATATTTGTGTCCTTGCCAGGTAACTTATCCTGGGGTCAGCCCATGATTTCAGTGGCAACTTTTAATGTAGTTAAACTGTTTTCCACTGGATTACAAAATAGCAGAATCCTGGGGGCTGGAGGGTACCTCTTGAGTTCATGAAGTCTGACACCTCTGCTCGAGCAGGGTTGCCAGGACTGTGTCCAGTCGGGATTTGAATATCACAGAGAACAGAAACTCCACTACCTCTCTGAGTAGCCTGTGCCAGTGTTTGATCACCACCACAGTGGTATCACCCCTACATTGTTGCATTAAACCAAGGCATTGATGCAGCATCTACCAAAAAGTGAGGAGGACGTCTCCGTGGCTGTTACTTACTGTCTTACAGTGTTTGTTAACTCCTCCAAGGAGTTATATCTGAGGATCTTTAGACTAAATTCATATAACCTGCATCCTCCTTCTGCATTTTCTTACATGTGCAAGGTTTACATTTCCATACTGCATTCTTGGAGCTCACTGGTGATGTGCAGGTGTCACAGAATGTGTGCTACATAGGCCTCTCCTCCTGGGCTGCTTTTCACTGCACACAGCATTATTTTGCGATGCTGCTCCTTGTGACTAGACTCTAGCCTTCTTTTTTTAATGTTTAAATAGCATGACATTGTGTGAGGAATTTGATCTTGGTGTTGCCCATCGTTCATGGAAGGCCAGAGTACAAGCTTCAGAACTCAAAGGTGAAGTGAGCTGGAAGCTTTTTACCCATAACCTGCTGGGGTACGTAAGGTGCTTTCTGGGAGAGCAACTGGAGTTGTCCATGTTGATTTAGCCACAGAGTCCTGTGCTGGGCTTTCTGTTCGGGCAAACAGCACATGGATAGCCAGAGTGAAGCTTGAGTAACAGCTTTGAGTCCCTGAGTAACAGCTCTTCCAAGTGACTTAAGGTCTCCATAATGCCACAGGTAGCGGAGCTCTTGGAAGCTCCTTGTTTTAGCTAGGAGTCTGCTCTGTATACTGCAATAATTTAATGCACAGTATCTTCACTGTTGTATATAATAATGTCTGATTGTTTTGTTTCAGGGTCTGGAAGCAGGACCTGGCTCCTTTTCAAGGTGGCATTTCCAAGGAGATGATGTCGGATGTGGTGAGCCGGAAGCTCGGGACACATTACCAAATCATTAAGAACAAATTGTACCGTGAGCAGGACTGCTTGTTCCCTGCAAGGTAAGAGCTGTGCAGAAGGTCTCATCTCCCTAGCTGGGACACAGGAGAACTTCCCAATATGCCAAGTTGAAAGTCACAGAGCACAATGATATTCCAGAGGTCTGAATTCCTCAGCAGAGCAGGAGCCTAGAAACTTATATATGGGGCTTAAATGTAGCGAGGTAAGTGTCATTGTTTCACTTCAGTGTACAAAGGGTTGGTTGGTTGTGGCATCCTAGAGAAAGCTGTAGATCAGGCCAGGTACAACATGGTAAGTTATTTCATTGGTGTTTGTGCTGCGTTGTGGCTTAGAGGCTGCTATAGGAATTTCCCAGCCTGCATCATGGTATGGCTCAGGCTCACCATCTCTTCTGCTCCTGCACAAAGAGACTGACGGATTCTGCCTTCTCCTCCTAGCTCTTTGCCAAATGTTGTTTCTCTACAGATGCAGTGGAGTTGAGCACTTCCTTCTGGGGATCATCAACCGCCTCCCTGACATGGAAATGGTGATCAATGTGCGAGACTACCCCCAGGTTCCCAAGTGGATGAAGCCCATTATCCCAGTCTTCTCCTTCAGTAAGGTGTGCCCACCTTTAAAAGCTGAGCATTTCTGAGACATGCATGTCTTTATCTTGGGAACATGTTTTTGAGTGTGGTTCCCCATAGTTTTTCTGTGGGTTAAATTTACTTGCTCTTTTTTTTATGTTTCCTTTCGCTTCCAGTTTTCTGGCAGACAGACTTGCAGATTTATTCAATAGAACAGTTTTTCCCTTCATTAGCTTCTCTTCCAGGTCCTCCTCTGCCACAGTGCAATGATGCACAGCTGGATGAGAGATGTGCCAGCATCTCTGTCACATTTAACAACGCTTCTGTTAAAATTGTAGTTGTAGTTTATCAGCATTGTTAAGGATTTTTAATCATAAGTCAGCTGCCATACAGTTAATCTCATTTAATATGAATATTTTAGTCCTCTTTTTTGGTACCACAGATAAGCATTTCTTATCTTCTTTTCTGTAATATTGCTGTCTCCTGTGAACCCTTTTCCAGTGGATTCCCTTTTCCATCTGCAAACATGCAGAGACATGCAGAGGTACACACACTTATAGAGATATTTACTCTCTGCTGCTGTTCCCAGAGTCAGGAACCCTCTCGTATGTTTTCCTCTCCCAGTGTTAAACCTGACTGTAGCATAGTGTCTCATCCTTTCCAACAAAATATTGTTACACCTCAAGCTTCAACTAATCTTGCTTTGCCTTCTTGTATACCCAATATACCCAAATCCTGGACTTTTGCTACCTAACTCTGTCCTTGGCTGAGGCCCAGCAGTTAGATGCAAAAAGAAGCAATAAACCATTTGCTTTTGCCAGTTCAAGCCCTATTCTGTTTCTGCCCACTTGTAGCCTCTTATTCTGAACCCAAGTCTTCAGCTCATGCAGTTTGAACCATAACATGATCAATGACTATTAGCTAGTCCCCAGCCATCCTAAAGCTCTCTCTAGAATTTCAGTACAGCATGTCACTTGATAACCATGTTTGCTGCCAAATGTAGTAGTAAAACCAGCTGTCTTGCCCCTTGACCATTGCAGAGCCTTAACTCTAGCCAGCAGAGCCCAAACTGATGCAGAGCAGGTTACAGGAGTTAAATTTTTGCAGCCGTATTTGTCATCTTGCCCCTGGGTGCCTCGTGGGATTCCACAAGGAACTGAGTTCTACAGTACCATTGTCCTATGTCTCAACTGTAACCTCAGTCCTGTCCTTAAGTGAAACCCAGTGACCCAGGCACAGCTCACATTTAGCTAGCTGGTGTTTGGAAGCGTGCTCCAGGATGCTGGTCCAGGGGGCTTTCTAAGACTGAGAGCATAAGGGCTTGCAGGATTGTCCTATTCTGCATCTCAGAAGGCCAACCCTGGGGTGGTGGTAGAGCTGTCGTGGTTTGTTATCGATGCCTGTTTGTAGCAAGACTGAGAAGGAGCAGATCATAGAAGCACACACTCATTTAAGTTGGAAGGGATCTCAGAAGGTCACCCAGTCCAGCACCTCACTCAGAGCAGGACCGACTAGATCAGGGTGCTCCAGGCTGTGTCCTGTGCAGTTCTGAGCACCCTTGAGGACAGGGTGTCCACAGCCAGCATTTGATCTTTTTCAAAATGAAAACATGTTTCCCAGTATCTGACTGGAATTTCCTTTCTTGTAATGAAAGCCTGTTGTCTCTCATTCTGTCTTTGTGCTTCTCAAAAGAGTCTGCCTCCATCTTCTCTGAACTCTTCCATTAGGTAGTAGAAGACAGCATTTAGATTCCTCCAAGCCTCTTTGTCCTGTGCATGAAGAAACCCATTCCTCAGACCCTGTTTATATGCCATGTGCACTAGCCTCCTAACTACCTTGGTGGCCTTGGACTCTCTCCAGCTGACAGATGGATAATTGTATAGGAAGTTTATTACTAGTGCAAGGAAGTGCCTATAGTCTGGTTTCATGAAAGGATTTAGACTTACTTAAGTGCTGGTCTTCCCTATGGTTAAATGAGGAATTAAGCATCCAAATAGGAATGAGTAACTGAAATTCTTACATGACTTGGGTATTTGTTGCAGTGAATTGTTAAGTGATCTCTAGGAAGGCTGGGATGAACCGAAGTGTTGGAAACCTAAATGTCAAAGTGTCTGTAAGTGCGTCTGTCTCTGAGGAGATAATAATAATATCTCTTAACTTATGACCAGTAGAAAATACTGTAGCTAGCACAAGCCTTTAGAAAGGTGAGTGGAGCTCAGGTCTCCTGTTCTTTACTAATCAACTGTATCATGGATCTCTTTTTTATTATTTTCTAACATGAAAGTCCCATCATGCAACAAGACATGGCCTTTTTTACATCATCGAAACACTTCAGTATTGGGTTGTCTTCATATGAACCCCAGCGACGCTGTGGGGACAGCAGAGCTCTCATGGCTGCTTGTGCAACAGTAACAGAGAAAGCCAACAAAACTCCCAGAAGGGATGTTCCTTACTGGTGGGTTCAGTCAGTAAACTGAAGTAGATACCATTCTTATTCTTACATTACTCTCCTTTTTCTTAAGACACCTGAATACAATGATATCATGTATCCTGCCTGGACATTTTGGGAAGGAGGACCAGCCGTTTGGCCAATTTACCCTACAGGCTTAGGGCGCTGGGACCTCATGAGAGAGGACCTCAGAAGGTATGTTTTGGAAATGGATATGTAGAGGAGGAGGTTTAATGGAAGGCAAACTCACAGTAAAAGCCATCTAGCATTGGTCGGCATTAGGGTAACGTTGAAGTCAAAGACCATAGGTCTGTTGGCCTGTGATCTGTCCTGGTACCTCGCATTAATTACTTACAGCCTAACTGCTGTATAAGAATTCTCCATGGAAACCTCAGATGATGTAACTAGAAGTTATAATTGGCTCCTCTGTTTCCAGCATTTTAGTGAGGAATGCAGAGGACAAAGTATACACGTTCTTCGTGCTGTCAGGGCCAGATAACTATCATTTTTACTGGGACAGGGTTTGTCAATAAAGCAGCAATTATCTTTTGCCTGCAGAAATCTCCCTTCACACATGGAAATATTTTCCTTTGTTTCCAACTACTTCTCTAAGAGCTGTGGTTTTTTCACTGCAGGGATGATCCAGGATGTTTGTATAAGCTTCTGGAAGGGTAAAAAAAAAAAAAAGCCTTCCTTAGATCTGCTTTTACTTGGGTATTGAGCAATAGAGAAACCTGGAATCCTTCCCAAGAATCAAGAATCGTTACTGGGCTGAGAGTAAGGCAGAAGACATTTCTGACTGGGAGTCTTTTTTTGGCAGGATCTTTGACTATTAGCAGAATAAGGGGCTGTTTCCCATGGAGAGTGACAAACAAAATATGCAATAGTGAGTGAACATAGAAACATAACAAGAAAGAAAACACCTTGATGTCAGTCATTTGACAGCAGAATGTAATGTTGAATGTTTCCCTCTTCAAAATCTGAAGATCTCAGGGACTAATCGTAGCAGAAGCCTAATGTGATATATTATAATGAAGGTCCAAAGCATTTACTTACCCTTGCTTTCCTGGTAAAGCCCACGTGTGTCACTGGTGTACAGGCAGGTGCAAAGATTGACCTGAGCAGATCAGTTTAGGGATCAGGACCTACATGTCAAGCCAGGTGCAACAAAAAAAGTACAACAAAGTTCCCCAGAGGGAGGGAGGGAGGTGACTGCACTGACAGAAATAAAACATATTAACAGCTATTTTGAGGGACTCGCTTAGATTTAAAATGAAAGGTATTTGGGAAAACAATGGAGCCCTGTGCTTTAAATGCCAAACACCAGGCAGGCTTTTTTGTTGCTGTTGTCTGGTTTAGGTTTTTTTTGAATGGGAAAAGACAGTGATTAGACACTCTCTATTTTGCACTATCCATATTCAGTGAAGTACAGAGAAATAAAGCAACAGTGCAAAAAGTGGATTCAAATTTTAGGTAAATTTTAATACCTTAAAGGTTTAGTGAGGTAATTGTGTGTAATTCATTGTTTTGACTGAAAGGTATTCTGAAAAGTAGCCTATATCATGTTGCCTTAAATACAATATTCACAGGAAAACCTGTTTCATTGGACCTGTCTGAGAGTTTTTTCTGCTTTAATGAAGAAAGTGATTTCCATCAAAAATGAAGAATAATAAAAAGAGATCATGCTGTGAAAACTGATGAGAACACTATTTCATGATTTTATTAAATCATTTATTGCCATGTATAAAAAATATTTTCAGATCTGCAGAAAAATGGCCATGGATGAAAAAAATCTCTAAAGGATATTTCCGAGGATCCAGGTGAGCATATTTTCCTGCAGTAGGAGATTCTACCAACATGTGCTGTGACAGCTGTCTGTATGCAGAAATTTCTGCATCTCCAAGACCTAAATAAGTGCAACCCAGAAGGTATTTTTTAAAAGTAAGGAAAGTGATACATTTTTGTACAGCAACATTTCACCATTAGGGATTCTCCATAAGAATTGCCGTTTGCAACTAGTTTATTATAATAGTTTAATATTGGAAACAGAAGCTGTGATGGATTGGCTACGTTATTTCTTAACGAGTAAAACTGTCGCACTAGGAACCAGCTTGTTTTGTTCTGTGAAGGGAACTGCAGGTGCCAGATACAAATCTAAAGATTTTATATTGATGTGCATGCTTCTTGCCACTGTGAATACTTGATGCACTATGCAAGTGCTCGACAGTGAATCAACAAGTGTTCTTAAGTTACCTCATCCGTGGGAGATAGATTGGTTTTGCCCTCTTTCCAGTGACAGTTTGAAAGCAGTGTTAGGCCCTACTCCTTTTTGTTCCTCCAACACTTCGCTCCTCCTCCATACCCAGTAGGGATGGATATGATGCCTTACTAGGTAGGCTCAGGAGGTGATGGAGAAGTGAGTCTCAGGGATGTTGTAACCTTGTTTATCAGTAGTGTTTTAAATTAGTATCAGAGGGATCAAGTGCTGAAGATGCTTAGCATCTCTTAGAGCTCTCTGACTTAGAAGGGAGTTAAAGTATTTGGCACCCTGAAGGAAACATCTCTGCTGATTTGTCCTGGGAATTGCTTAAATAATACTATTGAATATTTAGTAAGTGAAATAAAGAAACAGGGCCTCAAATCATTCTGGTGCACATTAACATTCTTTTCTACTAACACACCCTTGAACAGAAATACACTGTATGATAGGCACTTAAAGCTTTTGTGGGACGTAAGGAGGTCAGCCTTGTAAAGAGGCAGGGTTTTGAGTCCTGTAGTTTGTTAGCTGTGTTGGGTGAGGTGGATTGGCAATGACTGACAGCTTTTCTTTTGCAGAACGAGCCCTGAGAGAGATCCCCTCATTCTACTGTCCCGAGAAGACCCAGAACTTGTTGATGCTGAGTACACTAAAAACCAGGCTTGGAAATCTGAGAAGGTGTGTGGGCGTTGTCTTGTCTCCTGAGTGTGAAGGCCAGAAAGGGTAGCATTGCAAGATGGCTTTGATGATTGAGAAGCATCTTGTTGGAGACTTGTGGGTGATCCTCTGGGGTGGGGGAGGCTTGTAATTCCTTTGATGGCCACATCTGACAGATGAAAGGAAGGAGTCTCCAGAGCCTGGCAGGCCAAGCATTTTTCTTCCATCTACGCTTTTTGTTCAAGGAAACCAGCACACATAAGAAAATGAAGCTATGCCAATTCTCTCCTCTTCCATTACTACCAAAGTAGCCAACTCTTCTCCTTCTAACCCTGAGCTGCCTGTGTGGTGCTGGCAGTCTTTTTAAACCTTTTTTCTGTCATCTCCATAGTTTGGTCTTGTTCTTGGTAACTTTCTGTTAACTGTTGCTGATAACTTTTTAGTTCCATACTTAGTCTACAGTCCAGCTCTCTCCAGACAGTCCTGGCTAATCCAGTTACGCTTGGCTTCACATAATCCATTGTCCCAAGCTGTTTTCCACTCTGTAGCTGCCAACTGAACATTATCATTTAATGTGTTTGTGCTGGCATTTGCTTACAGGCAGTGTGTAATTTACTGATTTATTTTTTTCTTGTTTGAGGGGCTGGGAGTTCTTCATAATACTTCTAAAAGCCCACCAGAGAAGGTTTTCTCAGAAGTGGGAATGGAGGGTTTTGAGACTTCAGCTTTGTTTCTAGCTGAGAAGGAAAACAAATATTAAATCGCTATATAAAACTTCTTGATTATTTTTTTTTTAATTCTCTTTATTTTAAGGACACCTTAGGGAAGCCTCCTGCAAAGGAAATTCCACTGGTTGATCACTGCAAATACAAGTAAGAGTTTTGATTAGTAAAGCTGTTCAAGGGCTGAGGGTTATTTCTTTCCTTGCATGGTGCAAGGTCTCATTTTATTTTAAGACCTGATTCCAGCAACGAGCTCCATGCAGACAGGAAAGCTTGAGAACAGACACAAGGCAGTTGGGGGAAGTAAAGGTCTTAGATCACTAATAAACATATAGATTGAAAATTGTATTTTATTTTCTTAATCATAAAGGTTTTGCATCAATTTTTCTTTATATTCCTGTACCAAGCTGTGCATTCAAAGTTATTTTTTCGGTGCTACAGTGATAGCATTACTGTCTTCAAAGACATACAGAACTAAGGAATCATGTCTTCATACGCATACTGGGGCAAGTGTTCCCACTGGATGTAAGTAGTAAGAGAGTGAAACTGAAGTATAATGGAGCAGATATAGTATTGATTGGTAAATTGTATGTTGTTTGGGAGAATGTCGTTTTGATTTACAAAGGATTTTATTTTTTAACTAGTTCAGGGAGGGTTTTTTGTGTAATATTCTTGTAGGTTTCTGTATAAAAATATAAACTCTTAGGGTGTATGCAGTTGTATGGTGCTTTTGTTTTCTGTTTTGCTTTAAAATTACCTAGTTATGATTCTGCCAGCTAGAATCTGCTGATATAAGAAATGTCATTTGGCTGGATCTGTGTTTTTCTGCAAATGTGATTGACTCTTCTCATTTTATATTTCACTAAACTGTTGCCCAGATTTCTCCCTTCTGTTACGCATGGACTTCCCAACTCCTCGTGTCTCCGAAGCCCCTTGTACAGTATGGACTGAGATGTTCTGACACATTTTTGTCACAGCCCAGGGTCTGGTAGAGTCAACATGAACTTCTCGTTGCTTCCTTCAGTGCAGGTGCTGTGGCAGGCTGGCTGAGGCAGCCCTCAGTGACTTGGCTGAGGTCACGGGTGGTGGGAGCTGTGTCTGGAATAGAACAGAGACATTTTCTTGCTTCCAGCCCACTGCTCTTGCTGCATCTCTACACGTATTTCCTCAGTTTCTAATATGATGAGCTCCTTGTCCCTGCCTTGAGCTCCTAGGTAATACAAAGAATGCAAAATAATTTCAGATTTACTCCTTGTCGTTTACTGCTGATCTAAGTTTAGCTATAATTCCCACCTCAGCCCATATATATGTAATATCCCCACTTCACCCAAAATAGCTTCATTAAAGGAAGAAGTCCCTTCCCCCAGCCTAAAATGTTTGACTTCAAAGATTAGTTGTATGTACTGAGGGGTTTTACCCACAGGAAAAACAGCTTTCCATATAATTGGAGAAATGTGGGTTTAAAAAGCAAGCAAGCAAACAAACATCCCTCTGAGATACAGTTTGCTGAGAGAAATCTTCCCCCAGTCAAGTCCGCTTTACTAACTTGGCAGAAAACAGTGAAAACAAAATTGTGGATTCTTTGTTATCTGCAAAGTCCATCTGTTGTGCGCTAGCCTGTTTAACCTCCTAGGGTTGCATTCCCAAGTTAATATGAAACAATTAGATTCAGATTAAAGCAGAATCCCAGAAAAAAAAAAACCCAAACCAAAACCCCGACTGAGATAGATGTGGCAAAGCAGAACAATGAACAAAAAAGCTCACTGCAAGACAACAGAGAATTGGGGGAAAATCTCTTTGTGGTAACAGAGTCTGTGAAGTAAGGAGTCCCAGGATCATCATCCATGTTGTGACCTTCCATGCCTTGGTGGCAGTTGCCCATGAGACCTCTTTTGGTTTGTCGTGGGCAGGTGTCTTTATCAGAGGTCAAGCAGCACGCCTTGATTTTCAACCTCATTTCTGTGGGCAGCAGAAACTCACCTACCACATCCTTAGCTTAGCTCACCTGTCCTGTGAGGAGCTTCAAATCAACGTCTTCCCCTTGTTTCAGTGACAGGTGCTTGGCTCAGTGTGAGGGAGACCCCCCAGTCCCTACCTGTGAGGAGGCTGGTTGCTACTCAGAGCCCAGTTTCTCAGTGTGCTTTCTCACAAAATGCCAGGTGCAATCAGGTCCCTCTCTTTGTTTCTCCTTTTAAAGGTATCTGTTTAATTTCCGGGGAGTGGCGGCCAGTTTCCGGTTGAAACACCTTTTCTTATGTGGTTCACTCGTCTTTCACGTTGGAGAAGAGTGGCTGGAGTTCTTCTACCCCCAGCTGAAGCCTTGGGTCCACTACATCCCCGTCCGATCAGACCTCTCTAACGTCAGGTGTGATACCTCAAGTGTGCTCAGCGGAGCATTGTATGCCACGGAAAACACTGCTGTATTTGGGAAGGCAGTTTGGTTTGCGTTACGCTGAGGAGGGCCTCCACTCCTAGGCATCAGAGAAAGGCTCGGGGAGGTCATGTTCTTTTCTCTTTGTTACTGTCCCCAAAGAATCTTTGGCTGTTATTACTCAAAGAGTAGTTTCACCAGGGTGTGGAGGTCTGTCACCTTTACTGAAAGCAGGCACTAGGCACTTACATTTGCAGCTCAGATGAGGGGAGGAGAAATCTATTGCTGGGCCAAAAATGTGTCAGCTCCTAGATTTCAGCATGCTGTCCAGAACCTATTGAGAACAACTGAGAAGGGCAGGTTTCTTCTGTGCTCTGAAATGAGGAGCACTTGTCTCTCGCTCACTTGTAGATCCCTAATCTCATCCTCCAAAATAGTTTACCTAAGGGACAATGTTCACCACTGAATTAGTTGTTTCATGGCATGTTTTTTTCTTCGTTTTAGGGAGCTGTTGCAATTTGTAAAGGAAAATGATGCCATAGCCCAAGAAATTTCAGAGAGGTAAGTTGTGTGTCCTTTCTGGCTATCAGGGACTCTTCTTCCAAAGCCTTTTCTTATGCAGCTTTTGAAGGGGTTACCTATCAAAGACAACCGAGTATTGATAGGACACGCTATAACTGATCTTCTGCAGTAACAGCAGGAGGGTTGGGAAACTTGTACCGAGCTGGGGGAACCAGAGAACAAGATTTTATGCTCAGGTCTTTGGTTCAGACATGACCCGTGTCAGAAACCCCCCTGAAAGCGATCAGAAATTGGGAGCTTTCATCTCAGTATGGGGTGAGTTGGCCCCTGGGAACTGTGTCTGCATTATAAGCGTTACATATCCAGGCTGGCAGCGACTGGCTTCTGAAGCAGCACGCATCGGTGCTGCTCAGCCTGGGCCTGATACGTGAAATCTGATGTTTATTATCCCAGATAACAAATACCATCTTGAGGATAACAAAAGCACTGCAACTGGCAGAGCTGAGCGTGAATGAGAATTGTGAAATTAAAATAGAGGGTACAGAGCAGTGTGTGTTGTTTCTCTATTTGAAACACAGAAGAGTGAAAGTTGATATACACATAAAACAAAAGCAAAAACTCTTGTAGGAACTGGAAATTGATTCTGACTGTGCCTTGTGTGTCTCTAGGGGACGCCAATTCATCACCGAGCACTTGCAGATGGAGGATGTCTCTTGCTACTGGGAGCATCTGCTGTCTGAATATTCCCAAGCCTTGACTTACAAAGTGAAAAGGAGGAAGAGCTACAGCGAGATCGCTCCTGAACGGCTGAAAACAGAATTGTAGAGACTTCTCTGTTTTTCCCTTCAGCTCAAACTGATCTCAGTGGAAATCTGAAGATCAGTGTATCTTCTTTCTTGGTCTCTCAGACTTCTTATCCTTTCCACTAGAACTACAGAGAACAGCAATAGGGTAACTTTGAAATGGTTCCCATCCAGTGGGAGCTGGTCGTAGCGTCGCCCTGAGAACATTAAGTAGAATGTTGGATTATGGTGATTTTAATGGGGTGGTTATGCTCCTGTCTGGAAGAGGGTTGTTAGCATTTGGGACTTAGTTACTACTTGTCTCAGAATGATCCTAAATCCCATGTGGGCAATGAGAAGACTTCCTGTTAACGTTACTGGACTTTCAACCAAGTCCTCTCTACTTGTGGGCAAGGTACACTCAGCTGGGAGACACGTGCCCCCTTTTTTGGCAAATGGTGAATGTTTTCTCACCTGTGTGACAGCACTTGGGATATTAGGTGTTGCCTGACAGAAGCAGGTACTACTGGGATTTTGGGTAACTTTTTTTAGGTAGTTTAGAGATCACTTTTCTGATGCTTCTGTCAGGTTTTTAAAGAGCTTGATGGTAAGGCTTTGATATGCCACTGAAAGGACAAATGGTCCTTGCACAGTTAACCTACCTACCTCATAGAGGAGTGGCCAGTGATGATGATGATGGTGCCACAGTGCTAAGCCAGAGAAGCAGACACTCGAGCAGTTGGCAACTGATCTAAAGACGGTTCCTCCTCCAGCAGATGAGCTGGGTGCCCACACAGCCACGCAGAACTGAGCCCCTGTTAACAAGCTGTTCCCGCTTGGCTGGCCAGATACACTGTCCCTGGGTTCTTAAGTGTATGCAGAGGTAGTCAGCTCTTCTTTTTTTCCAGATGTTCACAGATTCTCTGCTCTGATCCCCTTCTGTAATCTTTCCAGGGTTGGTTTTGGGTCTGGGTTGTTTTTTGTTTTTTTTTTTTTTTGAGCTGGTAGCATGTCTGCTGGCTTCAGTATTTGCTTTTCTTTCCCACTGCTGTTACACTTCTTTTCTCACGTCTTTCACCCTGGTTGAAGGAATGTCTTCAGCCACACAACGGCAGCTGCTCCTCACATTGCTCGTTTCGGGGTCAGTCACAGGTTGCTTGCACTCACTGTATTTATGCCATTACAGGCTGCTCAGCCCAGAGGGAATGTGACTTCCCAAACGCTTTGTGTCCCCTGGGTTGGGAGAGCCCTGCTAGCAAGCAACATCTTCCCAGGCATCCAGGCAGGTGCTTAGAAGAGCGTGGGCAGCAGCGCAGGATCCCAGGGGAGCCACTGCCTCCAATGGGAACACCCTTAGAATCATAGAATTGTCTAGGTTGGAAGGGAACTTTAAGATCACCTAGTCCAACCATCAACCTAACTCTGATTTAAAAAAAAAAAAACACCAAAGAACAAAAACCCCAAAAAACCCAAACCATCACTAAACCATGGCTTTAAGCTCTGAGTCAACCCGTCTTTTGAACACCTCCAGGGATGGTGCCTCAGCCACTTCCCTGGGCAGCCCATTCCAATGCTTAATAACCCTTTCAGTGTAAAAATCTTCCCTAATATCCAATCTGAAACTCCCCTGGTGCAACTTGAGGCCGTTTCCTCTTGTCCTATCACCTGTGACTTGGGAGTACAGACCGACCCCCGCCTCTCTACAGCCTCCTTTCAGGGAGTTACAGAGAGATAAGGTCTCCCCTCAGCCTACTCTTCTCCAGGCTGAACAACCCCAGCTCCCTCAGCCTCTCCTCATAAGACTTACTCTCCAGACCCCTCACCAGCTTCGTTGCCCTTCTCTGGACCCGCTCCAGCACCTCGATGTCTTTTTTGTGGTAGGGAGCCCAAAACTGGACACAGTACTCGAGGTGGGGCCTCAGCAGTGCTGAGTACAGGGGGACGATCACCTCTTGAGCCCTACTCGCCACGCTGTTCCTGATACAGGCCAGGATGTTGTTGGCCTTGGCCACCTGGGCACACTGCTGGCTCATGTTCAGCCCACAGTCGACCAACACCCCCAGGTCCTTTTCTGCCCGGCAGAAAAGTCTGGTCACTCTGCCCCCAGCCTGTAGCGCTGCATGGGGTTCTTGTCACCCAAGTGCAGGACCCAGCACTTGACACCTTTGTTGGTAAAGTGGCCTCAAGGTGTAGAAAGCAGCACATTAATGGAAGAGGATATCCCTACCTGGACACGTTTCTGTGCAACCTGCTCTAGGTGGACCTGCTTTGGCAGAGGGGTTGGACTAGATGATCTATGGAGGTCCCTTCCAACCCCATATCATTCTGTGAGAACACTAGCAAGAGCTCGTGGCCTCCTCTGTGGTCAGGGTGGATGGGAGAAGAAGAAAATGCTACAAGGAGCAATAGATGTAGGTGATGTGCACAGCGGGGGGCCTGGCAGCACAGCACAGCCCTGCCGCCGGGAGGGGACGGCCAGGCCCAGTCCCCAGGCACTGGGTGGGTGACCGGTGCCCGGGTGGTCCCAGGCTGTGAGGGAGAGCAAGTGGGGTGTTCACGTGGGCTGCTTTCTGGGGAAAAGGGCTGGGCACCAGTGGGAGGGGGGTTCTAAATTTTGTATTTTTACTTAGTGGGGAGGCAGCACTCTGAGAAACTGAAACAGCTACGTATAGTATTTTTAAACCATTTTTAATAAAGTGCTTTTGGAATAAAAAAAAAAAAAAAAGAAAATGAATTTTTGTTGGGTGCCTTGTTGCTTACTCAAAACTGTGGCAAAAGATGGGGAGAGCCCATGGTATTTGATGTGTCCCAGAACATCCTCTGTGTCTGGAATGTCATGGGATCACAGAACTGGAACAGGTTGCCCAGGGAGGTGCCCCTTCCCTGGAGATACTCAAGGTGAGGCTCGACGAGGCCCTGGGCAACCTGGTCTAGTTGGGGGTGTCCCTGCTGACTGCGGGGGGGTCGGACTAGATGACCTTGAAGGTCCCTTTCAACCCAGATGATTCTACGAACGCCTCCCTCCCGTTCTGGGGTGGGGGTCTGTGGCTGGAAACCTCCTCTGCTCAACGTCCTGCCTGAACGGGCGGACCTTTTCCCCGCGTCCCCGAGCTGTTCCGGGCGGAGAGGCCGAGCTCCCCGCCCGCCTCCGCCGCTGGGGAAGCCGCTGCCGGAGGGGGCGGCCCGGCCCCTTCCTGCTCCTGCCGTGCCCCGCCGGGGGGAAGGTGGCGCTGCCGCGCCCGCCGCCGCCGGGACGGCCATGGCGGCGGGGGTCGGGGCTGCACCGCAGTTCGGCCGCCCGGCGCCGCCGCCGCAGACGGGCTGGGAGCGGCTCAGCGAGCTCTGGCGGCGAGAGTGAGCACCGGGCCGGGCTGGGGAGCGCCGGGCAGTGCCGGACCGTGCCGGGCCCGCCGAGCGCGGCGCCCCAGCCCTGCCATTGCCTTCCCTTGCAGCGAGCGGCAGCGCTACCCGGAGGAGACGGTGAACATCATCAAGTCGGCCTTCGCCGGGGGACTGGTGGGCTGGGCCTCTGTGTCTGGAATGTCATGGGATCACAGAACTGGAACAGGTTGCCCAGGGAGGTGCCCCTTCCCTGGAGATACTCAAGGTGAGGCTCGACGAGGCCCTGGGCAACCTGGTCTAGTTGGGGGTGTCCCTGCTGACTGCGGGGGGGTCGGACTAGATGACCTTGAAGGTCCCTTTCAACCCAGATGATTCTACGAACGCCTCCCTCCCGTTCTGGGGTGGGGGTCTGTGGCTGGAAACCTCCTCTGCTCAACGTCCTGCCTGAACGGGCGGACCTTTTCCCCGCGTCCCCGAGCTGTTCCGGGCGGAGAGGCCGAGCTCCCCGCCCGCCTCCGCCGCTGGGGAAGCCGCTGCCGGAGGGGGCGGCCCGGCCCCTTCCTGCTCCTGCCGTGCCCCGCCGGGGGGAAGGTGGCGCTGCCGCGCCCGCCGCCGCCGGGACGGCCATGGCGGCGGGGGTCGGGGCTGCACCGCAGTTCGGCCGCCCGGCGCCGCCGCCGCAGACGGGCTGGGAGCGGCTCAGCGAGCTCTGGCGGCGAGAGTGAGCACCGGGCCGGGCTGGGGAGCGCCGGGCAGTGCCGGACCGTGCCGGGCCCGCCGAGCGCGGCGCCCCAGCCCTGCCATTGCCTTCCCTTGCAGCGAGCGGCAGCGCTACCCGGAGGAGACGGTGAACATCATCAAGTCGGCCTTCGCCGGGGGACTGGTGGGCTGGGTGTACGGCGGGCTGCCCGCCTTCCACCAGGCCCGCCGCGCCTTCATCGAGGGCAGCCAGGGAGACCTCTTCCAGAACCGCGCCGATGCGGTGGTACGAGACCCCCGGGGGCCCCGCTCTGCGGGAGGCGGGGGGCCCGGGCGGGGGGAGGGCGGCGGAACGGGCCCGGGGCTCGGGCAGGCCCCGGTCGGGCGGCAGAAGTGGGTGTCTGGGGCCGGGGCCTGTGGTGGCGGCGGAGCCCTGGGGAGGCCCCTAACCCCGGGGGCGAGTGGTTTGGGTGCCTTTTGGGGCAAAATAAGGGCAAAGTGGTTGCTGCGCCTGTGGAAATGGGGTGTGGGCGGCTGCGCCCTGTCCCCTGTGGGGCTGCCTTGGGAGAAGTTGTCCTGGGTTAGAGAAAAAGCTGGTAAGGACGTTTCCCCTTCTGTCACATGGCTGATTAACAAGCACCGAAAAGCCTCCTGGCTTTTAAATCTTAGCGTGTTGGCAAGAGACTTCCCTCCATAGTGCCAGACCCCTGCCGTCCTCTCACCTTAGCACTGTGGGCTGTTTTAAAACCATTTAAAATTCACTCAGGTTACTGCTTTCGTCTCACAGTGGAGAACGTTTGTGACCTTGATAGGACAAGGGGAAACGGTTTTAACTTGGAAGAAAAAAGATTCAGATTAGGTATCAGAAAGAAATTTTTTACTATGAGGGTGGTGAGACACTGGAACAGGTTGCCCAGAGAAGCTGTGGATGCCCCATCCCTGGAGGTGTTCAAGGCCAGGCTGGATGTGGCCTTGAGCAACCTGGTCCGGTGGGAGGTGTCCCTGCCCATGGCAGGGGGGTTGGAACTCGATGATCTTTAAGGTCCCTTCCAACCCTAACCATTCTATGATTCTATGACCTTTTTTTTTTTTTTTTTAATAGATTTAGTTGAACTTTGGGGGGGTTTGCTGTTCAGTTAAAATGGATTGTTTAACCTGCATTATTGGGGAAAAAAAAAACCACAACAACAACCCAAACTTTAAAAATCTGGCTAATTTTATGTCACTCACCAGAGCGGCCTGCAAAGTGTGGGTGCCCGGCTGCGCGCTGTCCTGCTGGCTCTCATGTGTCACCCAGGCTGAGCGCACACACCCCGGGCACTGGGAAAGAGAGTTTATATTCTTTTATAGTGTTAACCTGAAGTTTTTTAATTTTCATTAAGCTTCTGTTTATCACATCTGCTTGTTGCCAAACTTGTAAGCGGCAGCACTAAACTGCAGAGCTTGATGGCCTCTTAACATTTAAAGTGGGTGGTTACTATTTACTTACAATGGTTATTATTTATTAATGGTTATTATTGATTAATACTTGCGAACTCATAGTGATGAGGAAGTAGTTTCTAGTTTGTCCCCCTTTCTTCTCTGCTGCTCTCCAGAGGGCTCTCCCCAGTCCCCCAGGATGAGCAAGACCAGTTGATGTATGAACTGGAATTAATTCTTGGTTGTCCTGTTGGTGGCTGGGGTACACGTGAGTGGTCGTTCCTCTGGAGACAACCAGCTTGATCCCGAAGGGTTGAGGCATCGCTCCCGAGTGACGCCAGCCCCGCGGCCCGTCAGGAATACCCCGGGTGGCAGAGGGGCTGGTGGTGCTGGGGAGGGGGAGCTGCATGGCCTGTAACCCATCTCCTCTCTTCCCCCCAGCAATCCGCGCATCGGGCTGGTCTCAGGAGCTTCCTCCGCTACGGCTGGCGCTGGAGCTGGAGAGTCGCCGCTTTTGTGACCATATTCAAGTAAGCGTTGTCCGGGGGGTGGTGGTGGTAGAAGAGCCTGGCTCATGCTGAAGCACGAGTGGCCAGGAGCCCTTCGTGCCACCAGTGTGCTCCCCGAGAGGCTGCTGGTGACTGGTTGAGGCTCAAGGCGGTGTGTTGACACTGGCTCTGATAAGATGCGAACATGAAGAGGATCTAACCTTTTATAACTATCCCAGATTTCAAATCTTCTAATGAACCAACACAACAACTAAAATTGTCTTCCCCGTTCCTTACATCTAATCCATGCCGTTACTGACGTGAATACTCTTCTTCCCTCTACTTGGTGGCTTCTTTCTGCTTTTGCTTCATCTCTTTTTTTGTGTGTGTTTTTCTCTGGGAGGGTGCCACAGCGTGTCGGCTGTTTCTGGAAGAGCTCTCTGTCCCTTCTTAATTTTTCTCCTTTTTGCTATGTCTCATTATTCCTAGTTTGTACACGCTGGCATTGCTCACAGTTCTTTGTTCTTGTCCTCAAATGCTTGCAGATGGTCATCTTGTTACTAAGCAGTCGCCGAACATCAGACCTACCAGTTGTATATATACCTCTTTAGGCCTTCACATTTTTCCTGCCCACCCAACCAACACAGAGATAGCATTCGGTTTCCCTGATTCTCTCCCTTAGGTGTGTGGGTGTGTTTCTTGCAATACAGCATCAAACTAAGCAATCTCTTCTGAATAAAGCCCTTTTAAACTAGGAATTTCTACTTCCCTGACATTCAAAATGGTAAATTTATGTGTAGTCCTAAGCCCACATTGACTGTATCAGCAGGTGTGTTCTGTCCTGTTTAAACTCCCCCTTCTGCTTTTAAGATTAAGATACTGACTAGCATTGTTTTGCATTTCCAGCTCCCTAATTTTTCTCTTCCTTTCTGAACTTCTTCCTCGATCTCTCCTGGTTTCCTTGGCTCCTTTTGGTTTAGCATCTGTTCTTAGGTTTAGTTAGTGTACTCTTGGCTTTCGCTGCTGGAGCTGTGGATTTCTTTAGGTTTTCCTGGGCTCGAGGTGTAACCTCATCGTCTTCCAGCAGGTGTCTCCCCTGCCGGCGGGGCACTGCCCCTCTTCACTCTCCCTGCCTGAAGGGCTTTGAAAGAAATTTGCCTCTCCCTGTTTTCACTGAATTTCACTGAATTTTAGAGTTGGAAGGGACCATAGAGATCATCTAGTCCAACTCCCCTGCTGAAGCAGGATTGCCTAGAGCTAGAGCATGTTATTCAGGACTGCATCCAGGCGGGTCTTGAAAATCTCCAAGGAAGGGGACTCCACAACCTCCCTGGGCAGCCTGTTCCAGGGTTCCGTCACCCTCACCGTGAAGAAGTTTCTCCTCATATTTGAGTGGAACCTCTTATGTTCCAACTTGTGCCCGTTGCCCCTCGTCCTCTCGGTGGGAACCACTGAAAAGAGTCTGGCTCCCTCCTCCTTCAACCCTCCCTTGAGATACTTGTAGGCGTTGATAAGGTCTCCCCTCAGCCTTCTCTTCTCCAGACTAAAGAGTCCCAGCTCTCTCAGTCTCTCCTCATAAGGGAGATGCTCCAATCCTTGAATCATCTTTGGTTGCCCTTCGCTGGACTCTTTCTAGTAGTTCCCTGTCCCTCTTGAACTGGGGAGCCCAGAACTGGATGCAGTATTCCAGTTGTGGCCTCACCAGTGCAGAGTAGAGGGGGAGAATGACTTCCCTTGACCTGCTGGCCACACTCTTCCCTATGCAGCCCAGGATTCCATTGGCCTTCCTGACCACAAGAGCACACTGTTTACTCATTGTCATTTTAGTGTCCACCAGGACCCCTAGATCTTTCTCTTCAGTAGTTGCCTCTAGCAGGTCCACCCCTAACCTGTACTGGTGCCTGACATTTTTCTTCCCCAGGTGCAGGACCCTACACTTTTCCCTGTTGAACCTCATGAGGTTCTTCCTTGCCCAGCCCTCCAGCCTGTCCAAGTCTCGCTGGATGGCAGCACAGTCCTCCGGGGTGTCAATTCATTGTTTCTGTAAGGTCCAAGTTGAAAATTTTGTCCTGCGGTTGTGCGAATTTTGAGTTTTGCCATTTAAAAGCAAGTTGTTTGGTTTTACCCTGGGCTGGGGCGAGGTTACAGCGCTGGGAAGGAGAGGAAGGTCGCTGCTGGGTTGTAGGTGTCATGCAGGAGGCTGACTAAAGTGCTGGGGAGGATGTGGCTGCTGAACTGAGGACAGAAAGGGGTTTGGGGCTTAATTGACGTTTCTGGAGGAGATGGTGTACCCACCCTGGTGGGAAATCTCATGCCACAAGAGTGGGAGACCCTGCTGATGTCACGAGTGTGACTTAGCTCTTGGGGTGGGGATTGTCTATCAGGCAAGATCTTCCCAACACACGAATTCAGCTTCTGGGTGTAAAGGTCCTACATCAGGACTGACTGACAGGACTTCTTCATTGCTCAATTCCTTTTGTCCTTGAATATACAATGGGAAAAAAAAATTCCTTGGTTAAAAAGAAAAAGAAAGACTATCCCAGATCCAGGCCAGGAATGCTAATATTCTCCAGCCTCTGGATGTGCAGCTGCCTGCAGTAAAGTCACAGGAACCACGGCACTTGTGGCTGGCACGTGTGTGCTCTGGGCAGATGGGCAACAAGGCAGTTAGAGGCAACCTGGGGGTTTGCTTAATGAAATCCAGCTTTATTTTGGGCTGTGTTTTGCTACCTGTCTTTTTCCATGTGCAACTGCTGACTCCTTCTCTGCCTTACCTTTGCAGCACGGTGAGCACCGGTCTGTCTCTGTACCGCGATAAAACCACCATCACTAATTTTGCTTCAGCAGGAGGTAAGGCAGCTGCCTCTCTGTGTACTTTTCCCTTTTTGAGCAAGGGTCGTAAATGGAGAAGCATCAGCAGAAATCCATAGCTCTTGGATTTGAACGGGTCTCTAGCTTCTGTGCTACTGGGTTTTCTTTCCTGTTCCACCGACTGCCATTGTGACTTCTCTGTTGTCGGACTGCTGTGTGCCTTTATTTGTAACAGAGAAATACCGAGGCACTTCTAAAACCATCGGGGAGTTTTGGGGTTTTCAGTTCACCTTCAAAATATTTGCTGGAGTGTTTTTTTGGGTGAAAAGTGCTTGTGTAGGGTGAAGGCAACACTTAGTGCATAACCTGCTGTCATAACCACCTACTTAGCAAGGAAAGCGTTTCCTATTTCCACTGTCTATAACAGTTCAGCGGCTGTTTATAAACTACTCTTTTCATGCTAAGTTTTACATGGCTGCTTTTGGCAGCAGGGCTCCGAGTAAGAGATCGGCTGGTTCAGTTTTACAGGCTCTATTGCCCTTGCTGTTGGCTGTGTGTTTTACTGATCTTTTCTGCCTTACATGGCAGCTACTATTATTAGCTGCTGTTGAATAGAAAGAAGAGAGGCGGGGTGGGATCATGCTCCAGCCTGGAGAGAGCTCAGTTTAACTTCCATAGATACTTTAACTTCTTACCATTTCTTGGGGAGTTTTCCTGAAGCAGAAGGAACTTTGTGAAATGTTTTAGTGCAGAAACCCTGGCATCTGTGTGGTGAGGGTCCTTCCCACTGGCCACGGCACTTGGTTTCTGCTCTGTTAAAAGTAGATATCAGCTCACGGAGAGGAGAAACGCAGCAAAGCAGCTCCCTCCATCTGTATGTGATGGTGGGTGGGGGGCCTGTTTGTGGTTTCAGTGGGTTTGTGGTTTCTTGGTTGTTTTTTTTTTTTTCAGCCTTCACAGGAGCCCTTTTCAGAATGCACTTGGGCCTGCAGGGACTGGCAGGTGGCTTCGTGTTCGGAACAGCCTTTGGGTGAGTTGTGACTGCTGCCAATGAGTGATCGAGACACAGCTACTCCTTAAAGGTGTTTGTTAGATGGTGGCCTCACACACCGACCCATGAGTCATAGGTGGGGCTACAGAAGCTTCCCTTCCTCTCTTGCCTTGAGGGATTTTTCTATACTTCTCTTGGGACCTCATGATGATGACTTTTCTTCCAACCTTTGAACTGGTTTATCTTTTCTTCCTTTTTCTTGATTTGTGTCCTGCTGCTTCCTCAGTGATATGACCTCAGTGCTCTCGGTAGAGCATCTTACTTGCTATTTGCCTATTAGAGGAGACGCAAAGTCCTGTTAAATGGGAAACTATAAGGGTGGGTTATAGATATGTCTCCTGTCCCCTTTCCTTGGCATGGTCACTGATGAGCGCAATGGTTGTGCACAGAACCATTGGACATCTGTTTTAAGGAACTGTGTTGTCTGTGGCTAAAGGCAGGAGTGTAAGATACCGCTTCTGGGCTCCTTTCTCAGCATCACCAGCAGCTGTTTCTGTAGCAGCTCAGAATCTAGATGGCACAAGGGTTGTTGGATGTCATGATGACACCTTCTGAAGAAGGAGGGCGCCCTGGGAGCTGCCATCCCCCAGGTTAGGAATCTATAAAAAGCATTGTTTTACAAAATAGGCTCCATCAAAGCCCAAAGGTGGAGCAGTAGCCATTAGGAAACACTGAGGAAGAAGCTGCATGGTTGGGCTGCACAACGTCTTGCAGTTGTGTGTCTCCTAAAGCTCCCAGGGGCATGGAGGAGCTCATGATTCTCTCTCTGGGGCTCTGTCCATCATGACAGTGACCTCTTAACTCAGGAGAAGTCTGACTTTTCAAGCAGAGCTGGGATTTCTCCTCTGAGTACTGATGTGTGAATATCCTCACAAGGGAATTTGGCTGTCCTGTCTGGACAAGAGAATGAGCTTTGTATGTGCTGCACTAGCGCTGTCAGGATGGTGTCAGCTGTGGGCATGCCTGGAAGCAGCCTCGGGAGCTTTACCAGTGCAAACACAAGTACTTCTAGAGCTGGACAGAAGCAAAGCAGGGGTGTGACAGTCTAAATTACCGGTTAGGTGATCTACAGGGGTTGTTTGGCCACCTTAAATCCTTCCACCCCTTTGCCCTGTGTGTGCCTGTCAATGAGTAAATTCAAAATATGTTATTGAAGGGGCTACAGCAAGTCAAGGCTAAAGACAGGCTGTGTTTGGCAGCTGACAGTGGCATGGGGGTACCTAGACTGTGGTGTGATGTGAGTATTGGGGAACATTAGGCTCCAGCGACCTGGTGGCTGGCTCCTGCCTGCTCCTTTTGGTGATGCCAGTAAGTTGTTACTGTTGTGTGACTGGTGACTTTTCTCCTTCCTCCTCTAGGATCCCTGCAGGGGGCCTCTTAATGCTAATGCAGAAGCTTGCTGGTGAGACCTTACAGGAGAAGAGAAATCGTGAGCGCAGGGAGCTGTATGAACAGAAGTTAGCAGAGTGGTAAGGAACAGCTCTGCCCGTTCCAGTCTTTCACTAGAAGTACCTCTGGGTCTGTGTGGTTCAAACGTTTAAGGAAACCATGACACACTAGGTTTTCTTAGACCTCAGTTCTTCTGCTCTTCAGTTTTCGGTGTGTTTCACATACCAGTCTGAGAACTGCTGGTTTAGTCTTCCCAGCCTTGGATGTTGCTGCTTGTTTTGTTACCCAGGAAGTGCATCAGTTTTTCAATTTTGCAGTGGCCAAGAAGACCAGTGGCACAAGCGCATTAGTATTTCTTTACCAAAATTGAGAGAGGCCAGATCTGTGGCTTTTTCTTCATCGTTGCCTTCTTTCCATCCCTGTTAAAGAGAGGAAAGAAGGAGGACAGCTGGAGGCTTTGGGGAGAAGAGGCTAGGACACTGGTTGCGCGACTTACTAAAACTGACCAATAGTGCCAGTTCTAGAAGATGCTTTTCAAGATTTGGGATTCTGCAGTGATGCCTTTGTCAGGAGGATACAGGCATAAAAGTACTTTGCACTCTTTTCTCTCGTTAGGCAATCCAGGCTCAGCGTGACGGAAGTCTTAGGCCAGATGGAAAGCGATGCCCAGGAAGGACTGGAAACGGAGGGAGCAAGAGAGTCCAGGAGCTACTGAGTCTTCCACAGATTTCTGTCGTAAGCAGCTACAAAGTGTTTCGGTTCTACTCATTAAAGGCTTCGATCAAGGGGTGATGGAAGTCTTCTGTGAACACAGGTAGATCCTGTGCACTTGTGAAAAAGCATTTTGCTGAAAACGTTGTTCAAGGATGTGTGTCACTGCACAAGGGCTTGGAAGGGCCAAACCTGTTCCACCTGAGAAGGTGGAAATGCAGACTCTGCAGACCAGGAACTGTCATCTAGGTTTGGCAGGGGGTGAGAGCAGCCCCAGAGCCTCTTCTAGAACCCATTTCACTGCTGAAAATGTCTAAGCCACCAGTGATGTAGAAATATTCAAGGTAAAGGAGCCTATATGAATAGTTTGGATGCTAAAGGTACCCTGATTCCAAAAGCTAATTAGCCTCTGGTGAAAGCTGCTCTTCAGACAGGGCCTGAAGAACTTGCTGCCAGAGCGTGATAACAGGCAGCACCAGAGCGAGGGCTTCTCCTCCTCTCAACATCCCCCTCCCACAGCTCCACTAGGCCTGCCTGGGACCAGTGCTGTTCTGCTGACAGGGATTTCTTCAGGCTTTTTGCAGAAAAAAACGCTTGGTTCCTGTTGGTACTTGGGGTATTTTGCAATCGATGTTGAGGAAGGGTGGAGGAGCCGGGAGTGACATGGAAATACCCTGAAAAGGACACATTTTTAGGTTCCTCAATGAGCGTGGCTGAGGGGGTCACGGAAAGGATAACTTGTTTCTGGTGGTGATGGTGGAAGAACTGGCGCTGTGGGCAGTTTTAACAACAATAATTTCATGTGAAGGTTGGAAATTGGGGGATTACCTTTGGGGGAAATGTGGTTCAAGACACTCAATAAAGCCATCTAGCAGTGGAGATTGTGTCTGTAAGTTCTTTGTGTTAGTACAGTATGTACTTTATGTTAATGCAGTATTTGCATTAGAGAAAAGTACTTGAGTGATATCCCATGAGAAGAGCTCTATCTAAGATCCCACCAGCGAGCAATGAAGTCCGGTGGCAGTGTCAGACGTTCCTCTGTCCGGGCAGTAACACAGACAAGAGCCAGGAGAGCGCCAGCTCTGTTTATTATTTTGTAGCAGAGATCAGCTGTGAAGTCACAGCTGTTACCTATAGGTAGGGTTGAAGTTAATGTCATAATGGTCTCTACCTAGAAGGGCCAGGTGGCCCGTAGCCATTTCCCTCAGAGCAGGAGGTCAGAGTTCTGGTCCCCTCTCTTTGTTGGGGCTCTTCTCCTATTAAATGGAATTTCATCCAGGCAGGGGGTTCGGGTCTCCTTCCCACAAGTAAAAGAGGAGTCAGTCTGTTCTGGCTGATTGCTTTCCTCTGGTACAGCTGATGGCTGCTGATTGAAATATGAACAGTCGATTCCACAGAGCGTATTCCACCCACCCAAAGCAGATTTTTGGCACAGTGTGCTTCCAAAAAGGTGGTGTGTTTTCTTGCTTCTGAAATGAGCATTTTGGTTTTTTAAACACCTCAGTGTAGTTCATTTTTCCATTGAAGAAATACATGTGTTTCAGGGCTGTCATCAACCAGCTTTGGTTTTCCTTTGCTATGTGTTAAGTGAAGGATCAGAATAAGCAGAGATATGGATATGTTTCTCCCCCTTCCTGTCTTAAACTGCATTCATTGGTGACAGCAGTGTTACTGTCCTTGCCCTCTCGAAAAATCAAAATAGCAGGCCTTTCCCACTTACACTTTTGCCGTTGTGGTTACACAGCAATGTTTTATCTTTTTCTGGTTTGTTTTCACTCTTTTTTTTATTTTATTTTTTGCTGTTGCATCCCCACCCGATATCCCCCACACTTATCTGTACAGCAGTTCTGATGACATTTAGCCATGGCATTGCTCAGTCTTTCTCTATTCCTATTCTAGTGGTATTTGGTGCGATGCCTAAAGAGTATTAATTTTCTTGTGATGACCATTGATGCCGGGATATTCTTCAGTGGGAGAGTAGGCAGAGCCAAGGTGTAGCAGCTGTGTGGATTTTCTCTCCACGTAAGGAAGGAAGGGCTGCTAAAGGTCCTTATGCAGCACATTAGCAAGGGGAAGCAGAGCCTTCCATCTACACTCAACTCAAGATCAGCAGCCATTTTTTGCTCCGTTTCCTGCTGCATTTAGTTCCCTGCACTTCCTCCTTTCTTGTCTTCGAAGTCGGTGTTCAAACAGGGAGTGAAGAGTTGGTTCAGAGCTTATTTTTTTAAATACAAATGTAAGGGATTCTTCACACCTCCACTCTCTCCCTCCTCCCAGCAGAAGCACAGCACTGCAGTTATCGGTCCTCCGCTTCCAGAGCAGGTAACACAAGTAGCAGGGGTAGAGTGAGAACATCTTAAGCTGGATTTTGCTTTTGCAGAGAACCTCCCTTTTTGGGAGGGAGAAGGAAGACCTGTTGCAAACTGAGCATCGAGTACTGTAGCTACACTGCTCGGTTAATCCCTGACACTTCGACAGAGATGAGGTACGTGGAAGTTACAAGTTGGGTGCCTGAGTGCCATCTTGTCATTGCTGTAGAGCACACCAAACAGAGCTGTGTCTTGATGACAACTGTACCTGTTAAGCTTTGTCAACCAGCTGCATCACATGTTTTGATGCTACACAGCCTACCTTTTTAGCAGCTGCAAAATGGTAGCTGGGCCTCAATGAATAATTGAAAGCCTCTAACACTTCCCAGCATATAGAACAGACACCTTTTATTACGGAGGAAACTGAGTTTACCATTTATTTTTTAATACAATTGCAGGAGGAACCCTGGGAAAAAAATGTTATGTACAAAATACCCATGATACACAGAGCAGGTCACCTGGTACAACGACCCAGATAATAGGCTGAAAAGGTCTCACGGAAACCATTTGTGTGCAATTCACTGAATACAGCATAAGGCAATAGAAAACATGATTCATAGTATAAGTGCTTAAGGAAAAACTAAATCAAATACCCACCCATCAAGAATATAAAAACAAGCTGATGCTGAACACATCTTGTTTCCTTTAGAAGGACTTACTTAAAGTGTCACAGGAGTCTGTGGTGATGTAGAAAGGTTTGGCACAGTGCAAAAGGCAAACTCTTCTCCAGGATGCTGTGCAATCACCAGTCAGGAGCAGAAGTAGAGCGTGGGATAGAGGGGGAAACATGCAGGTACAATTGTCAGTGCTGTGGTGTGGTTGGTAAGGTGGAAATGTGTCGTGGTTATAGCAGGGGAGGAAGCATAATATTGAAAATTATCAAAGTGAATACAAAAATAGGGTGTTCAGCCTGCAAGAAGCCAGTAGTTTGTGCTGGAAAGTACAAACATAGACCAAAAGAAAAGGAAATGTGAAAAGTATGAGGCACCTTTCCCCATACACCAAATCCTGCAATAACATCAGGCTGCCATTTGCTAAAACTGCTTTCCGTGTCACCTGTGTTCTGCTTGCAACCAGAATGCACAAGGGCGAAGAGTATTGTTTCCTTATCACCCACCTTACCTCCTTTCCTCTGTCAAAAAACCCTCCACAAGAATGTTCTGAAGTTCCCGTTTCACTGCATACAATGGAAAAGCAGTAAAAAAAGCTGCTGGGGCAGCATGACTCTGCAGGAGCAGAAAGGGAGCAGTGCCTTTATTTTTCACTAGCGACTTGATCCCTTAGCCTCTCAGAGCTCAATCCTCTATAAACCGCTTTTAGTGCTCCTATTTCCTCCAGCAATTTCTCTCTCAATATGTTCCTGCTAAAAAAAAAAAAAAAGTGAAATGGATGAAATATTTCTTTGCTGTGTCCTAGCAAGGTAAATGGCTCAAGCAACAAAACTTCCCTCAAAGAAGACAGTGTGGTGCTTTCAGGCTTCGGTCTGCCCTGCTAACTACACCCATGGATGGAGCTGTAAGGGGCTGGGTGCAGCTTGCAGTGGGTCAGAGCAAAAGAGAAAAACAAACCTGTCGAACTCAGGGCAGGGTTGAGTTAGGTGAGTATGCAGAGCAGCTTAAGTAGCATGTTGGGGCTTGGGTCTTTCTCCTCTTTTCCCCTCAAATTGAGAAACCACTTTTTCCTACACAGTAGGCAAGAATATCACCCAGATCAGATCAGTCCTATCCAGTGTTAGCATCCTGTAGGGAATGTCCTTCAAGTCCTGGCTGGGTAGAGAAAACACTGGCAGAAAGCAGCAGTCTTCAGAGCACCAAGTAAATCCCTGCGCTGCCGTGAGAGACTCAGAAGAATCTCCTACAGGTATTGAGCCCACCCTAACAAGTATTACTAGGCAAAGCTACAAACAAAAGCAAGTATTACAAGCAAGTATTTACAAAGCAAGGCCCTGAGTTATGTTTCATTTCAGTGGATACACGTGAGATAGCCACTGAACGTTACAAATATTTAAACGGAGCTTTACGAGTGTGGATAGGAAGGAATGCATATAAAAGCTTGTGCATGTGTGTGTGTGTGTGTGTGTGCAAAGGTGTGCACTCGCCTGCACCGCCACCAGTGGGCTGTGCTGTGTCGGGTGTGCTCCTGGATGAGTGAGTGATTTGATGGAGGAGCTGTACAGCGGTACCTGCGTTGGCCAGGCCATCCTTTCAGGAGAGAAAGGTTATGAGAACTTCTGCCACTGCTGTAGATAAGCAATATTAGTTAGTTGTTAGGTGTGCCATCAGTATGTGTCGTTCCCTAAAAAGTCTCGTAGCACAGAATATGAGCATGAGGCATACAGTCCCACCTCAAGGTGCTTTTTCCATGACAAGGGTGTGCATTATTGTCTCTCTAGGGGAGAAGGGACATGTATCTGCAATGGTCAAGTCCAAATCAAGTCCTCCAGCACAAAGAAGAGTCCTGGCAGATATCCGTGCGAGGCTGAATATAAAAGAAGTTTTAGCTGCTCCCAGTTGCAACATGGAAGCACAGCCTGCCATGACATTGTGTCGAGGTCTCCCAAAGGCCAGCTCTATGTTACTAAAGGGGTAGGTGGGTGTGGGCTACCAGCTAGGGCTCTGCAGGCCCCCTGATTTTCATAGAGACAGCATCAAAGCCAGAGGATCCCAAACTCTTGAACTGGTAGGCTGGAGCAGCATGATGCTGACGGCTTTCTTCTGCCCCGTTCCAGGAACATGGAGGGTCCTCCCAGCTGGATTTCCGGCGACCCCTTTGTAATGAGACCACCCCACAGCTTCTGGGGCATAGGTGGGGTTTTGTATTCATTCACACAAGATAATGTTGTCAGTCTTCTTGAGCAGCTTTCTACCGCTGTCTCATCCCCTTTCAGAGAGCCAAAGGGTCCACGCAGTAAGCATTGCTGTACAACGAAGAGTGGGGACTGCAGTGCGGAATACACAGGATAACAAACCTGAGGGACACAAAGAAAAGATTTTTACTGATTTTTTCCTCCCCTTCTTCTTAATCCTAAACACAAGCCACGCTGTTGCAGAGCCGAGACAAAACAGCACTCACTTGCGACAGGCCTCCACAAGAGGGCTCCTGCTACAGCAAAGCCAGAGCTGCTCGGGGCCAGGCAGCTCAAGACAGGCACGACTCTGGCTCAAGGCTACTGTGAAAAGCTTTGGGCCACACAGGTGCCATCCCTCTGCCATGCGAGAATGACTAATGAATGTGCTATTTAAGCAGCAACAGGGCATGGTTCAGCACATCACACAGTTAGGAGATGACGGTCAGCCACTAAGGAAGCAATGACATTGTCCCAGCTCCCTGTCCGCAGCCCTTCCAGGCACTGGAGTTGACAAACTCCAGCCACTTACACAAGGAGCCCGGCAAACTTTTCTAACAAAAGAGGAATGTGGCAAAATGGATGTATTCAGCTGGTGAACTCCCTCCACTCCCATCACAAAACTCCCCAGAATTCATGCTAACCAAGACTCTAGTATCTGTTCCAGATGGGGCCTTCCCCAGAGGAAAACATGAGTGGGTGGTCTAGTCTGGAAATGAGATGAGTGGCCTGAATGATAGTTTCCCCTCCTATCCATCTCAAAAAAATGGTAAGCTTTTAGATTACTGCAATGCACAGCGTGACAATTTCATTACTTCTAGGACTCTCCAGCTGTTACTCTATGGCATTACCCTGGCAATTCAGCATGCTGTGGCGAAAGCAGGAAATGCAGTCACCTGGATAATGATGTGAATAAGAACAGTTAACTGCTAATCTTTCTTTAAGTCTCTTGACTTGAAAAATGTCTTTTTGGAGGACACAGCCCTGAACACAGCTGAGCTTTCCAGTCAAAATGAATATAATGCTTTGTAGTCATAAAACCGTGGTGAGACTTTTCCCCAATCTATCCTTCACAGCACCTCATTACTGAAAGTAACTCCTTTTGAAATATGAGTGTTTCCTTGGCAAGTCTTAGAGGGGAAACTTTTCCTTCTCTGTTCCTCCACTGCTGAAGGTAATGGAGGTATCTTAGAAGTGGACTGGCATTGCTAATCTAACTGGGAAAGCTGGAGTCATTCTCTCATCATCCACCTCTCCCTCACCACCACTTGATCATCCATTTCTGTCATCAGTGATGTTCCCTCGCTCACGCATCAGACCGGGCACGTGGCTCATGCCATCCATGCAGAAACTCCATGCCATGGAGGAAACTGCGTAGCAGCTGAGGGAATACGTCCCCTACCATTTTTCACTAGATTCGTGTCTAGAAATATGAAATAACCCAAACAAAGCAGTGGCCCACAAGCAACATGAGCATCATTCCTCTAGTCGCCTGACTGGAAAACACCATGTGTCTGAGATGGCAATAGGGCCCTGCTGCTTTTATTTAACCTAAAGGACAGCACCCCCTCATATTAGAAGTCATACATGGTTTTGTGAGCTACCATTGCACAAGTATCTAGTTGTATTTGACAAGCTATTTTGCGAAGAGAAGAACAGTGAAGAAAACTACCTGCAAATGTGATCTGGTCATACAGATGATGTTTCAGATGTCACTTTAGAGCTCAAGGGTGTCTTCGTACATTCTTTCACACCCTCTTCCACTGAATCCTGTGGCTTATGACAGCGAGAACATACTGAAAAAGAAGATCCCTCATTAGTATTTGGAATTCCAGAAGACATTAAAGTGCTGAATCCAAATGTCCTCTTTAACAAAGTAAAGTATACCTGAGAGTGGGGAGGGAGGAGAGAAGAAATGAAAGAAAAAGAAATCTTTTAGGTCTAGTTACTTCTGTTTTTCCCTGGCAGGACCCATCCTTGCAATATATCTGAATACAGCTGGCCCATAGCCATAATCTGATCCGATAGAAAGCTCTGTTAGATATAAATGTTTTCTATATGGATTCATATAGATAAAACAGTTCTCATTAGCACAGTCTAGGACCTCAGCCTGGCACAAAGACAGGTTGCTACATGCTTAGATAACGTCTGAAGGGAAATAATGGTAAAAGTTGCATGTCACTAAATGCACTTTACCAAGTGAGTGAAAGAACGTCGGTGTTAGAACCAGCCAGCCAGCTCTCCCAGTGCTTTGAAAGGAGTTCAGATTAAACAGGTCCCCTTAGTATCTCAGCATCTGTGGATGACTTTTGTTTTAACAATTCAGGCTGAATGTGTCTGTACTGTTACAGCAAATTGTACTTGCACTAACTTTACAACATGGACCCTAAGATATGCTTAAGTGACCTCTAATCTTGGTGTAATCTTGCTGCTTTGTGTTAAATTAATTGAAGAGTCATTAAAAAAAAAAATCTAGAGAGTTTGCATTCTTAAATTGCTGCAAAAATAAGGAAGTTAGGCTGTGAGCGCCTCAAAGCAGGGGGTTGTGGCTCTCAACAAAGCATCTACATGTCTTGGTCACCACCACAATCACACACCTGAGAACTCCTATTTTGGTTTTGCTCTATCTTTCTATTCTTCCCTCCCACACTTCAGCTCTTTGAAGCATGGCTTTTCGAGCTCAGAAACCACTCTTCACATCAAGACAGCTCCCAACTCAGCTTTCCATATACCAGCATAACAGAGGTACTCTCAGACATATTCTGAGCTCCCACAATAGCTCTCGAAAGGAGACCTGTAGCAACACCAGCAGGAAGCACTCTGCGGACAGGTATTTCCCTCCCCAGACAGGTGACAATGCACAGCAGCACGGAAATGTGACAACTGTACAAACTGGGAAGTTGGATCGAAACTCTAGCTTCAGTTTCTTACAGAATAAGCCCGGTCGGGAAAGTGACTGTACAAAACAGCACCACCTGACTCGGCAAATCTACTCCATGTGCATATTAGGAAAATAGGACTGAAAGGGACATTCCAGTTTATGCAGCTCTGTCCCATGCTGTTGCAGGTGAGCACATTCTACCTCATTGGTATTCTTTTTACATCTACTTTGAAAGTAATTTAGTTTCTATATAAAAGGCTATCTCAGAATGCTCCAGAATCTTACTAATTTAATGATAAGGAACCTTTTAATTTCCAGCCTATATTTGTTTAGAGCCAAACCTTCCAATTCCAGTTCATTTTCTCCTATAATTAGAAGTTCATTACCCATGCAGCTAACAGCACAGGCTGTGATCAGCTGTGATTTTCTTGGTTTCAACCCGCTTGCTGCTTTCCCATTGACATAGCCCCAGGGAATAGCAGGGGAGAACCAGCAGTGGTGGCATAGGGACACATGAGTGGAAAATGAGGATGTGAGCAGGTGTAGCCAAGAGTCTCTACCTTCCAGAAGCTTCCTTTGTTTGTGATAAAGCACTCAAAAGAAAACTAGCCCAGCCTGACTCAGTGGTCACATTGGTTTTTGAAAAGATGTGGTTGGTGAGGAAGGGAAAAGAAAAATAGTAATGCTACCTCCATACCTCTGATTTGGGAGTGAAGTGTCTGCAGTTGAAACAGAGGTAGCAGAAGACACAAAGCATGACAAATTTAAAAGTGTCCCTAAGTGTGCTGAATCCCTCCTGCCTAGCAAATAACCTCTTTCCAATGGGGGATACCGCTGCGGCTGGGATGAGCTAAGACACTCAGACTGGTGGCTTCTGGTTTAAGTCAGCTCAACACAGAGCGCTCTCAGCGTGGAGTTCTTGTCTCCAGACTTCACTTCCCCAGTGACCTGACAGAACTCGATTGGGTGATATTTATAACGTGTTGCAAGGCCTGCTGTCTTTCTCCAGGACTGATTTCAAAGCTGCTAACAGGGTGTGAATAGCATATCTGCTGATGTTGACTTTCAATACTGGCTGGGTGTCCAGCTGCCTTTATAAATCCATTAGGTGTCTACCCACATCTTCAGGGCCTTTCTGGCTAGGTCAGTTTAGACGTGATTAGGAGCAACAACTAACAGATGAGATTTTTTTGGAGACACACACACAAAAAAATCTGCTCAGCTGCCAGCTAACCCAAGATTCTTGAGGTCCTCTTTGCTATTGAAAAATTCTTGGACACATGTCTGGAGCTACTGACAGGGCACCTCACCTGTGCCATTTTTGGCCATACAAAGAAGACAAATCCACCTCTCCTGGTTAGGTTCTCCTGAAAGTGGGACATTGCTATGCTTAAGTCTTTTTTGTGGCCCTAGCACTACTTTTTTTTTTTTTTTTTTGTAATTTTGGCTCTGTGACTTTTCTGAGGTATTGTCTAAGTAGGGTGTGTAGAGAGATAGATATCCCATTTTGAAACTGTCATAGCTCAGCTGTATCTATCATTATCATGAAGATTTTTGGCATCTTCAGGCATCTTAATACATAAAAAAAATGGAATCTCTTCAATTTGTGAATCTCTTCAATTCTCTATTCCTCTGATTTTGGAAATATTCTGATCTGCTGTCAAAACTCCCCTTCACTCTCAAACCTGAACCCTAGCACTGCCTGCACACGAAATGTAGGAAAGTCCTGAGATGGACTTAGATTTTGTGACAGTAGATGCTGCATTAAAAAAAAAAAGGAAATGAGAAGATGGTCCAAAAATACCTAGTGTGTCGGTATAGTTTCTATAAATGTATATTTTACATAGAAACTCCACAAGCAATAAGAGACTGCTTCTTGCAAAAGGAGCTGCACTTACCATGCCTTGGGAGGTATCTTGCTGCTAGGGTGATAGCCAAAAGGAAGATGATAATGATGATACTTGAAGCAGTAATGACATTATAAGATGGAGGTACGGTAGGGACAATGCAGTCATTTGTTTTTTCTGAGACAGAAGAAATAAAACATAAATACACGGCCCAACAGCATATTGGCATTTTCATGTAAGAGCAGCTATCTGAATTTTGGTGGTTCTGGCCAACTAACTCAGATATTCAGTCTGGAAATGTACCTATTCAATAAACAGACAAAACTGGCACATAAATTTCTCCCATTCCCCCCCATTTGCCATGTGCTGAAGTTTTTAACATATCCACAGAATTTGAAATGCTGGATCTTTGTCCAGAACAGGACTGAGAAAGGCAATATTTAAAAACACATAAGCTGTTTTTAAACAAACTGGTTAGGCTTGGTGGAAAAGTCAGAAACCGTACCTAGAAAATTTCCATTCTCAAAAGTACTCTGCAGTCTTTCTTACTGTTTTCACCAGATTTATGCCTAATTTTTTTCCCTCTGAATTCACAGGTGATGGAGAATGATGCATTAAAGAGACTAGAATAGACTTTTTTCTGCATGGTAGGAGGAGTGTTGTGGCAGAGCTCTGTTACAGTGCATCTGGAGCCTTTGGCTTTTCACCACTGGAAATGACCGTTCTGGCACTTGGACATTAGAGTGGATCATGTGCTGTTCTTGTACAGTACAGGACAACCCTAATTCAACAGGAGGGACAGACTTGGTGTGTGGTCATAGGACTTCAGATTTTCATCATCTACACCTGGCACAATTAAGCAACATTCAACTTCTAAGCCTGATACATGGTACAATCTTCCCCTCCACTGTTGGGTTTGCCTCCTACGTTTACCAGAGGCTGTATTCTGTCTGGAACTCCACCTTCATGAAAGATTTGTTAGGAGGACAATTTCCATCATACCAAAATGGGAGTGGTTCCACACCTTAAAAATCAAAAAGTGGGGGGTTTGTGACTGCTGTTGTCACTGTTGATTACACCCTCCTCTGAGAATTGGTGTGATCAGTGTGATAACAGTGTATTACTATTATTACTTTTTTTTGTTGCTCTCCTTTTCTATGTAGTATGATATTTAAAACCTTCTTCCGTTACCATCTCTAGGGGCATTATGCACTACATCCAGCAATAACCAACATCCATATAGCACTGGTTTCTGGCATTTGTCTTGAAGCTGAATGACACCTCTCCTCACAAGCCCCTTAGATTATAGTAAGATTGATGAATAAGGTACAATTCCCTAGGAAAAGTAGCGTTTCCCTAGCTTCCCTTGAAGGTGCCCTTATCTCTACAGTGAAAACATCAGACCCAGAGACATTTCAGAATGCCTTTTCGGTAACAACATTTAAAAAAATACAAAACCAACCCTTTTGGCTTTAACAATTTTCTTGCAAATCACCTTCTACTGCAAAACATCTGGACTGTGGTGTGCTACCTTCCCTCATGCTGTTTTCACTCGTGCCTCAAGCTTTCCAAAGTACAGACTTATCTATTATGTTATCACTTTTAAGCCATGCAAAGTAATGGAATATTTTCTGTATGAGTTAACCCTATATTAAATATATATATGAAAGCAGAATTTTGTCTAGACCCCAGCTGACAGTTTCTGTCACTGAAGCAGGAACAAACATGCTTGTCAAATGAGGAAATTCTTTTTAAATGCAGCCTGTGGCTTTTAAGGCACACATGTTTCTCAAGTCCCTCCGTTCGAATACCAGGGTCCGTGTCACACAATTGCCAGCAAGACTGCTCTGGTACAGAGGGGCATTGAATGGTGACCACTGAGGCAGATATCACCAGATCACAACAGGATCCGGCTGCCCCATCAGCTCAGCAGTAACTCACAGTAGAGCAGCAGGAAGACAAAGCCATCTCTGCTTGTCAGTCACCGTTGCAACTCTCCTCTCCCATCCCTACTCTCTTACAGCCTTTGAAAAATTTTGGTGTGCAGCTCACAGGTGGGATCTTTGGGTCACCCTTGCATGAACAGATTCCCCAAATCTACCACTTTCTCAGAGAGGCACTTCAGCAGGTTCAACAAAATGGTTTTGTAGCACAAACTATTAACAAAACCTACTCAGAAGCAAACTGGCGGACTTGGTCAAGCCATCGGATTCAACGGAACAAGTGAAGATGACATCTTTGGTCACGTTGAGCTGCAGTTTGCCAGTGACGTTGTACGGGCTGAGGCTGGACTCGGACACCCAGCTGACATTCCAAACCACGGACTCGTTGTTGAGGGTTCCAGACATTTTGGGTTTGGGGAAACCTCCGTAAGAAAAACACGTTACCACCATTTCCATTGATTCACAAGAACTAGCGGTTACTTCTGCTGTTATGTTCGGCTCACTGAAATCAGCTGAAGCAAGAAAGATTTAGTCAGATTCTGTCAGATTGCAGTCCTGATCAAATAGTCAAAGCAAAGACTCCCCCACAGGGCATTCTTCCCCCTCTGTCATAATCTTTTTGTTTTTTCTCGTGCCTTAGCATTCTCCCCATAGTCTTAGTGGATATGGCCTTGGCCTTTGCTGCTTCTCCTCCCTGGGCAGTACACAGACTTCATGACCCCACCTTCCCATGCCACTGTTTCTCTCTACATGCAGCAGTTTGTGGAACAACAGAAGGAATCGTAAAACAGGTAGAAAAAATACAGGCCTGAATAAAAAAATCCATATTACAGGCACTGGTATACAATTTCCTTTTCTTCCCTCATTAGTCCCTTCCCAGTCAGAAGGTCACAGAGGGTCCATCCATTGTGGGAAAGGAGGTGAGTCACATGATGGTCTCCCAGCCAGGATGGCCAGCATGTTCCACGTGATAGCCCCTCCAGAAAGCTCACCTGGGAACAAGACCCAGTCATACCATTTTTTTTCAGAAATGCATAGCAATACACAGGTCCTCCCAGAAAATGTTCTCACTGGACATTTTTCTCATTGCCAAGGCCTATTTTCAGATGTTTCCCACCCCCAGGACTTGTTCCGTGCCTTCCCGCCTGGTAAGGTGTATTGCTGTGCTTGTGAGGCTGCATGGTGAAATGGATGAGAGAATTAACAGAAGTGAAGAAAGAGAAGAAAGGTGGTGTCATTTCTAGCCTGCCTCCCTTTGCCAAACTGGTTCACCATGTTACTGTAAACAGTTGCATTGGTACAACTGAGGATGCCCATGGCTAGCAATAAACAGCCCAGGATGAGGAGGAGGAGGAAAGGGGTGGCAAAGGAACTGTTTAAGGCAACTCTCTCACTGGAAAAATCTCCATGGGACCACATCTTTAGCAAGAGAGGCACCAGTTGGAAAAAGAAACTGAGCACGTGGCTTCCTGGTGGGCGTAAGTCACACCACCACCACTGCTGCCAAAGGCACCAAATTGTCCCTCCCACCCCTGCCAGCTGTGGGTCTGTAGCCTGCACACTGCCTCAGGTGCTAGCCCCAGCCATGGCTAGTCCAGGAAGAATGCTGTAGCACCTTGCTCAACTCACTGCAAAATGACCCTTTTTGGAGCAGCTAAGGTTTTGTCTGTGATTGCTCCCTGCCTGACTCACCATTTGACCACGTGGCTGCTGGGATCTGTACAAGGCAGACAGCCTTGAGGTTGTAGTGTGTCTTCCACAGCTTCTGTTGACCATGAACCCATGGTCTAGGCTACCAAGTAACTAGCAACTAGTGAAATAAACTTGCTCAGCATTGCATGGCTAACCAGTGGCGGACAAGGAGAGATTTGGATTTCCTTCCAGGTCCACTATCTGTTGAGCAATACAGCATTGACACCCAGTCTGGAAAGGCCCTTCAGACCTTCCAGATCGCTTCACAAAGCCTCCCCCAACAGTCACCAGTGAGTAACACCTTTCCACCTCTCTCAGGGTAGCTGGATTCCAGCAGGGGCAAGGAGGCCTTCCCATTTCCTGATCCCCACAATAACTGATCCCACTTTTCCAAATGGAGCAGAAGTCTACCACAATTATTACAACTGTCCTGTTAAGACAGCAAGGGGATTTCTGGAAGGAAAGAAACTTGAGTGTTTGTGGGGAGGAAAAGAGATCCGTTGTTTCACGTTTTTCGTGCAGTTGACTCCTCAGCCCTCACAGCTAGAGAGGGTAATGCTGGGCAGTGCACTTCCCTTTTCTCATATTGGTTCCCAGAAAGGTCACTAAATTTGTCTCCTTGCACATATGCCCACCATGCCCTCAGACAGGCAGGCGACAGCAAAACTTCAGGAGCTTGGTTTCTTTGCTGAGAAATCTCATTCCAAATGGGGAATGCTCATTCACTGGCTTGTCTGGAAGATTCCTGGAACTCTCTGCTGTTAAAGGTATTCAAATGTACATATATATTTATATACATTACCAGTATCTCTGCCTTTGGTTGAAACCAACCACCATAAAAACAGTGGTGGAAATGGAAAATAATGTCAATGGAACTTTTTGTACCCTCCAAGAAAAGATTCAGATTCATTTTGAGCAAAGGAACTCGGGTTATTTCTTTAAGGTACAAAGTCTCAAATCTCCAGCCGAGTTCAGTCTTTGGCTGTGGAGCTGCAGTGAGGCCTGTGAGCTGGCCAGCCCCCTGGGAGATCCTGGGTTCCCAAGGGGTTGGATGCAGGGCTGAGATGCTGCTGTGGCCACAGAGAAGCAACATCATCCCATTCCTCTTTCCGCTTGGATGCTTCCCATGCACCAAGGGTTTGGCCCCTGCTTTGCCCAAAAGACAGCAGGGGGCAGAGATGGGTACCCAGCCGCAGTGGTATCTGGGGAGGTGTACCATGAGGGGTCCATGCCCAAGAGGGAGGCATCAGGGGGAAGGATAGTTGGGTGATGGGAAAGGTGAATTTTCTGTACCTTGGGTAGCTTTGGAAAGATAAGGAGGGAAGCTGGTAGAATGGAAATACAGGGGCCTTAGCACACCTTTCCAGCATTCTTTCGTGATGAAAGTCTATCTACCTGTGACACTATGACTAAAGCTTGGAGGAGTGTCTTTTACCCCCAGAAGCTGGCATGGGAAAGCCTCGGGTGTTGGGAGGTAATCCACCTACCTGCAACAACGAGGGTGACAGTCTCATCACACAGAACAGATGGGTTCTGCGAAGATTTGAGGTGCTGAACTATACACTGGTAAGGGCCTTTGTCCGGGATTTCCACGGGGGAGATCCACAGGGTGAAGTTTCTATCATTCATCTCTGTCCGGTTCTCGTACCGCTGGTTCTTGGAGATCTCCTTCCCCTCTGCGTAAGCAAGTACTACCTCCCTGATGTTCTTCTGCCAGTAGACCCGGTAATTATGTAGGCTATCCGAGCTGGGAATTTCATGACAACAAGGCAGGCCAACTGTTTCCCCAAGTTTGCTTTTGACTTCTTTCTTCTCCAGTGCACAGCCTGGAGGTGGGAGTCAAACAAAAGTCAGTGAGACAGTGGTATAGCCTTGTGCCAGGACCTGCTACATACAGCTCACCTTGTTTGGCTCTGTCCCCACCCACTGATGTTCCTCATCACCCACTGAGCTGTTTACATCTTCAGCTCTGCACTGAGGGGAGGGCTACCTTGGCAAGGCCTTTTACATGATGCTCCAGTCCTTCTGAAGCCACTGAGCTAGCGTGCACACAATGATTTCTGCAGGGAGTACTGAAGGCAAAGGCAGAAGAGTTACCTGCCTGAACAGAAGTTTTACTGGCCTCTTAAAAAACCCCACACCTCAGAGTACAGAATTGCCATTATTCATGTAAAGGAATAAAACCATACGTGCCCAAACTGCTCTGCTCTGCCTTGTCAGAGCCCGGTGTTTGGAAAGTCTGTGTCACCCTCCAGTGGGTTCCCTGCATGCCAAGTGGGGCCCTGGTAGACTATTAGTTTGGGGGCTTGGGGTGTTTTTTGGAAGTTTTTTTTTTTTTTAAAGAAAAAGCTCCAAATCCTACAAGAACTCAGAAGCTAGAAGGAACCCTACAATGATAAACAAAGGTTACAGCCACACTGTCATGTGCCACCATCAGGATGATGCTTATCCCCGTGCAGTCTGCTTTGTTAGTCCAGAAGGTTGAGTTGCTTTATGTTTGCCCTGCTTGCCCCAGCCTCACTACTTTAGCACCCATCTCCGCTAGTGAAAGGGGGATACCAATCTGTTGCACTCCATTAGCAGAGAGGAGGAAATAGCTGGCCTCAGGACAGAGAAGATTTGAACTCCCTCTTCCCTCCCTGCAGAATAGATCTCAGTACATCTCTCTGCGAGACAAAGTGGGGAAGTCCTGACCAAGCAGTGTGTCACGGATGGGGAGAGTGCAGCATCACCCGTCGGTGGAGGTGAGACCCCATGTGCAAAGCCTCTGCCTCAGCCGTGAACTGAATGCTTGACAGAGCTGAGCCTAAGAACTGCCACCCACCCCCAGCACAGTCTGGCTGGTGCTGGCAGGAGACAAGCAGACGCTCAGCCACTGCCCTGGCACAGGCAGATTTTGGGGCAGCATCGGGGGCCTCTTGCTGAATTTAAGGCCAAACAGAGAGCTTGGGACAGAATGTGAAATAAGCTTTCAGCCCCCTCCCCACGGCACACCTACCCCTGTCCCACTTGCATGGTTTACAATAAATCTGTAGGAGACACGCTGAAAAATACTGGGGAGGTCCTGGCAACACTATGGAACATTTTAATATTAATTCAATAAAATAGAATACGTAATTAAATGAGTAACTTCCCATTTAACTGGCTTCCCTTCACTCAGCTATTTCATTGGTCTTCCAAAGGGAAAAGATTCAAACACTTTTTTTCCCCACCGCTACTTGTACTTCCCCTTATAATGCATCGCAGAGTCTGAGCAACCAGACTGGGGCAGACCAGGAGCCCACTCAGCCAGCTGACCTGTGTCAGCCAGCAACTGATAGCAAAATGGCAGAAAAACCAGTTCTTCCACACTGCAGGGATAAGAACTGCCATACCCTGCCAACCTTTGGTAGCCAGGAATTTAGGGATTTCTTGTCATCAGCAGTTTAATCACTGCCGCTAGACCCACCCTTCAGGAATAGTTCTTGCCCCTTCAGGAACGTGAGTATATTTTTGGCTTCCACAACATCCTGTGATGATGAGTTGCACAGATTGATTACATGCTGTGTGAAAAAGCATTTCCTTCTGTTCACCTTAAAAGCAGCCCACTCTAGGCTGTGATTCTTGAAGTTCCTCCTCCTGAGTGTCTGCATGCATTTGTGTGTGTGTGAGTCTTTTCCCTCGACCACATCTTCGCTTGTTCTCACACTTCACCTCTTACTAATGCTGGAAAGACTCACAAGAGCAGCTAGTCAAACTAGGGATTGTGGAGCCTGATACAGATAATTTTCTATTTTCTTTTGTAGCAGTAGGGGAAGAGTAGGCGTACAGTAAATGTCAGGGTGACATCGCATCATGAGTTGCATGAGGTTATCCGCGCCTTGCCCCTAAGAGTCTCCTTTGCAACCAAAAAGAGAACAAAAACCTCCTCAGCAGTGCATGTGCAGGGACTGGAAACTCCTGCTGATGTCACATCTATCCTTAAAAAGCTCTGCACCCTTGAAACTGCAACCTGAGTGCTGCAAGCCTGAAGGAACCAAAGTCCACAAAGAGTCATTCAGCCCCACAAAAGTCCCCTTTCACTTTAAAGGTGAACTGCAAAGCAAAAATGAAAATTCAGTTCTGTCCCATTTCTGTGCTGAATGCTCTCTGTAACGAGGCAGTGGGGGAGGTATCCACCATGGAAATATTTTTTAATGACTTTTCTAGAAAAAAAAAAAATGATCCCTCCTCTTCCCACCCACCACTGAAGCCCACCCTCTCCCTTGCTGTGCACGCATGTTGCTTCATCACTGGAAGGCTGTGGCATGTGGCAACACAGAACTGATGAAAGGGCTGACTTTCTGTTCCTCGGGCAGAAAAACACGTTTCATTCAAACTATGCCTGTGCTGCAGATGACCCACATGGCAGGGCTAATGAGAACAGAAAGGCGAGTGTAGAGGAAATCTGTTCTTTCTTGTTTGCTCCGAGAGTCAGCAAGCAGGAGAGCTGTTGAGCCCGTATCCCTATTTCCTTCACTCCCTCACTGTGTTTCAGAAACTCCTCGGCCACAGAGAGCTTGGCTCTCCTGACCACATGTACAGTCAGGCAGTACGGGAGAGCAGATTGCCTCTGGGACAGAAGTCCTGTGGAAAGATTTGACTGTAAAAGGCGGTAAAAGACCACGCCATGCTTTAGAGAAGCAGTGCTGAACTGTTGGAAACCTTCAGATAATTCCTGGTGAACAGAAACCCCAAAGCCATTCTCTTTCCCCTCCGTCCGCCATTTCTCTGCCCTTCTGAACTGCTTTGCCTTTTTTTTGACCTGACATTGTGTTACCTCATTTCACACCCAACCCACAAAGCAACACACATGGTGGGAAAGGCTCTCCTTTGTGGGTCGGGAGTTCTTTGCTCCTCCCATCCCCTGTGTAAGCAGCAGGTAAGAGAGTGGATCTGCACACTTTTCTAGCCAGAAGTCCTGCAGCGAGCTCTGAGGAAAATTGTTGGTGGCCCTCCAAAACCAGGAGGATCAAAACAGCCTTGCATTGCTTTTTTTCCATAAAGTCCCCTATTTATCTTTGCAAGAGCAGCTGGTGTCTCTAGTCTTACTTTATCAGCAACACTAACTTGTGCCATGCAGCCAGGAGTCCTGCTCTGCTGGGGTGCCAACAACTTTCTCACCCTCCGCCTGTGCAAGGGCTGGAAAAAGGGACTTAGGGCAGCTCTGGGAGTAGGTGCACACCAAGTCGTGGTGAGGAAGGGCAGTTCTGGTGATTGGCGCTGGGCTGCTGAGGAAAACACGTCTCATGGAGCTGTGGCTTTCTCCTGGTGGCCATCCCCTGGGGTCAGTGCAGGAATCCCACCCAACAGTCCCCGGGTAATTCTGCAGCTCAGGCCCCTCATTTTCTGTGAACAGCACATTCGCCCCAAACTTACAGGATTTATCCTTTGAGGACAATACAGTATTTTACAGGGATTTCCGAGGAAGACAGATAATCATTTGAAAAATTGAGAAATTTTGAAAAGCTAAGTCTTTAAAAGACTAGACACTCCCACTTGATCTTTTCTTTATCCCAGGTGATATTACCGGTGAGCAATCAGATTCTCCCAAAGCCTTCCGTGGAGTTAAAATTCAGCAAGCATCCTGTGCTACACTGGAATACATGAAGAAATGCTTTGCATTTAAATCAGTGTTGTGACAGACTCCCCTGAACGCACTGTTCACAGGAAAGAACTCGTTAGATGCCCAGGTGACTTCTGCGTGGAGACATCGTGACATTTCAGCAGCACATAGAAACACTGCCTTCCTCTGCTTTTTGCTGTAAAGACCCCGCAAAATGAGAAAGATGGGATGAAAGAGAGAAAAGGAGTCTGTGACTGCATATTAACCCAGGCACGAGTGCCTGGCAAGCCTCTAAGGCCCCTTCTACTCAGACTCCACTCCAGCAAGTCCAGGCATGCAAAGGGAGGTCTCAGCAAGCAAGGAAAGGAGGAGTGGCCCTTTCCCCTTGCACAACCCCAAGCCAAACCTTCCAGTCATGAACCACAGGCCTTCTTCCACCCTTCCGCTGCTCTAGGTTGCTCTGGCAAAGCAAAGCAGCTGCAAACCCAGTTTGCTTTGCTCATGCCAGGGTGACCTCTAGTGAGGTCATATTCTCTTACTCATCCCAAATGCGGTGAGAGAGAGAGGAGCAGAAGAGGTGTCCTGAAGAAAAGAAAAACAGAGATGCACATCATTTGGCAGAGGTTCCACTCAGTCTCACTTCCCTGTACCCACTCACGCTAGTCAAGCGTGCCCATAGCCATTAAGTGACAGGATTAATCCTAGTTTACAATGATGTCATGGCAGGCCTGAGGTAGGGAAACTGTTAGAAGAGGTTTTTCTAAAAGTTCATCTCTGCTTACATCTGCACCATAACCTCGGGGTGCCCTGCTTAGAGCAGTATAGTAAGGGCATGGCACCCTTACATGGCTTTATGCACTTCCCATCTTCCCATTGACACATTCCTCCTAAACCTTGCTTTGCCCAGCCCTATACTGCGTGATTTGCCAACGATTATAATATCTTCATGGTGTTTTGGTGCCTGACTCCTTCAGCAGCCTCTGTTCCATTTTAATCCTCTTTTTTTTCACATGCAAAGCCTTTAGTGAAGAAATCATGAAGTCATGAAGCGGCTGTGAAAACCAGAGGACACCTTCCTGTATCTATAGATAGAAAGACAGCCCATATTTGGGGTTACGCACTAATCCTTTTTTTTTTTTTCCAGCAGCATGTTAACTTGACATCCTATTGATGACAAATGAAATTATCAATCTTATTTGTCTCCCTGAGCATAATTTGATAAGCAGTGATGTACTGTACGTA